GAGATCGGGGTTCGATTCCCCGCATCGGAGAGCTACAATTATTTTTTTCGTGGTTGGGTTTCGTCTCTTCTAGAGCTGGAGACGACAGGATGCTTTTTTTTTTGGGTGGAATTGGTGGTCGACGCGGGTGAGTCCGTTCCTATCCTTTCTGGCTAACAAAGCACAACCTACCAAGAGCCTCAATTGATTTGTGGAGGCCTAAGGATCGAAGATATGGCGCAGATAGCTGTCTCCAAGTGGAGTCTCTAAGGTGGATTTTCATTTGTACAGATCTGTTAATTGGGTGTCCTAGAAGTCTTTGAATGCTTTGTCTGAGATTCAAAGCGCCATATAACTGGCCAGACTCGTCAGAGAGAAGGAGGTTCTTGGGGGGCGGGGTCAGGGTTGGCCCCGTCCTCTGTACGTGACTACTGTACGGCAGGATGTGAAAGACAGAGTCATTGAGATCCCGCTTTCTGCGCAGAGAGCCTCAATTGCCTTCTCCATACATTTCTACGGGGTCCGTCTCACATTCCTTGCCAATGTCTGACCCAGAAATCCGGGGGACGCAACATCTAAGGAGGGATCCTAGATGAACAACCCTACGGACAGCAACCCCGCATTACTACACTAAAGCCAAGACATCGCCACCAATGGAATCCAACACGGCAACCTCTGAAGCGGGAAAGAAACAGGCTCCTCCTCCAGCTCAAGGGAGAAGGATGACGTTGAACCGTCCCCAGATCCTCGTGTTGTGTTGAATTGACTTTGATCCCGCGGGGGAGAAAAGGGAAGATCACCTCCTTTTCGAAGGGCAGTGCCGTGCCCAGTGGCTGCCTAAACAGATCCCATTTGCCAACTTTAATTTTTGGCCCCGGGAAGGGACCTGATTGCACCAGGCTGGTGCAATCGGAGCGGCACCACCGTCACAGATGGCGCCAGCGGCGTCCGCTCATCCATCCCGGGGTGGTCGGGAAATGATCGCACACAGAAAAGGCTCCGTCCTCCGGCAATAGGCAATAATCTCTCGGCTCGGGCATCCAGGAAAGTTTCTTGGTTCTGTTGCTTGGTGACTCTTGTCCCCCATCGCATTAGTCAAGAATTGGTCGACGACGCCGTTAGTCATGGGTAGGGATCTGAAAATAGCATCATTTTGCCCTCGTGGTGGGCGTTCGGCATGTTGGAGAGAGTCAAGAGTCAAGCATCTAGACGGCTCCAGATGACAGACACACAACAAAGAAATCCGGGGGATGTTGATCATGTGGCAAAGCAAGCGAAGAAGTTTTTTCTTCGCAAAGTGCAAAGCCACGCCTCTGGACCTGGATCGAGGGGAAATCGCCGACGCTCGCCAGGGACCGATAGTTGAACAAATTAGCGTCTAAGCCGAGTTCGGGCTCCCGGTGAGATGTTGGTTGGTGATGGAGGGACCGATGGGTGAAACTTGGGGGGCCCTGGGAGTTGGTTTTTCGGCTCTGGCCGTGCTGGAAAGCTCCTGAACCATCGGCTGAGCCGTGGTTCGGGCTTGGGTTGCTGAGGACTGTGGCTGAGGCAATTGGAGACTAAGGAAGTTGGCCAGTTTAGCGTGGATTTAGTGTGGAAAAGTTGAACGCTAAGGCTAGACCTCAACCGGGGATTTTTTTTTTTCTTTTCTCTTTACTTTTTCACCCCACGTCGGGTTGGTCTGGGGAAGAAAGTTCCAAAAGTTTCTGATCTTGTGATCACCTTGACAGACTGACAGTTCGGGCAAAATCGCCGTCAAGATTTCCGGATCGGCTCTAGCTCTATTACTATGGACTGCATGTCGAGTGTTGTTGTTTATTGTGGCTGATTTGGCTGATTTGGCTGATTCGGGATGGGGAGAATGGTAGGACCGGCTACCCGAATGCGGTCTGGGGTTTGTGTGTGGCCGTTCCCGGTTGCTGAGTCGGCTTCTCTTGTTCACTGCCCGTCAGTTGTTTAGCTGTGATTACACACCGTCTTTGTTCTGTACATCAGGTGCTCAATCTATTCTATTCACTGTTCACTTTAGACTTTACATTTCAAATCCACAGCAGGGTCTGAGCAGAGACCTCGGAGATGGGTTGGCAACAAACCTCCTCGGGCACCGGCGAGAGCCAGTGTCTTTCCCCACCGGTCGGCTTTGCACACCAGAACCCTCCGGCTAACGCTCTCTCTCGGGACTAGTCCCGACTCTGAACAATGGCGATCGTCGGCCTGGCCTCGTGTCTTCTCTGACTTGTCTTAATCTGGAGTCTCAGCACTCCAGTCTCCACACTCCAGACTCGGGGAGGCCCTGACAAACGACGCGGGGGAAAAGAATGTTCGGTCTCGTGGCCTGGCCCCTACTCTATTCCGGGCTGTGCCATTCACTCCCTCATGCATTCACTGCAATTCCGGTCCGTCAGCAGTCCCCGGCCGGCCGGATCTGGGGTTGACCAGACTGTCTCGGCCTCCCCCCCCCCGCGCACTACAAAAGCATCGTGATATCCCCAGCTCAGTTTGACTTCCTCATCTTCATCTCCATCCTCTTCTCCATCATCAGTTTCTCATCTTTCCATCATTCCATCGTCAACTGCCTCACACCTCTCACCACCCATCACCAACCAATCCACGTGATCTCAATCTATTTACCCTTGACTGTCTATCATCATTCGCACTGAAGAACTCTCTGCCATTGACTGTTGACAAACACACCCACTCTACCACTACCCCTTCTGATCCTACTTGTGATCGATCAACCATGGGTTTCATGCTGAAGAAGCCTGAAGAGGCAGTGGGCTCGGCCGCCCCTGCCATCATTGTTGGCCTGTTTGCCGCCTTTGGAGGTATTCTCTACGGCTATGACACCGGTACCATCAGTGGCATCATTGCCATGAAGAAGTGGCGCGAGATGTTCTCCACTGGCTACGTGAACCCCAAAGATGGCCTTCCCGATATCACTTCCTCCCAGTCTTCCATGATTGTCTCCCTACTGTCCGCGGGTACTTTCTTCGGTGCCCTCTGTGCCGCTTTCGTGGCCGACCGCTTTGGTCGTCGCCTGGCTATGATCCTCGACTCCTTCGTTTTCTGCTTCGGTGTTATTCTGCAGACTGCCGCCACCCGCATCCCTTTGTTCGTGGCTGGTAGATTCTTCGCCGGCTTTGGTGTTGGTCTCCTCTCGGCAACCGGTATGTTCTTCCCGTGGGTGGGTGATTGAAGGCAATAGATACTGACGGCGATCCAGTGCCCCTTTACCAGTCGGAGACTGCTCCCAAGTGGATCCGTGGTACCGTTGTTGGTGCCTACCAGCTGGCCATCACCATTGGTCTGCTGCTCGCCTCCATTGTCAACAATTCTACTAAGGACCGCATGGACACTGGCTGCTACCGCATTCCCATTGCTATCCAGTTCGCCTGGGCTATTATCCTGGTGACGGGTATGCTCATCCTGCCTGAGACTCCTCGTTTCCTGGTGAAGCACGACCGCCACGAGGCCGCGGCTCAAGCGCTCGCCCGTCTGCGTCGTCTCGATGTCAACCACCCTTCCATTGTTGAGGAGCTCTCCGAGATCCAAGCCAACCACGAGTACGAGCTCAGCGTTGGCAAGGCCAGCTTCGGTGACATTCTCCGTGGCACTCTGGGCAAGCGTCTGCTCACGGGCTGCTTGGTCCAGGCCCTGCAGCAACTGTCTGGTGTCAACTTCATCTGTAAGCTTTCCTTCTCTTGTCCATTTTCATCGGTTCGGGTCTAACATCCGTTGCAGTCTACTACGGAACCACCTTCTTCCAGAACTCTGGCATCAAGAACAGCTTCACCATCACTTTGATCACGAACATTGTCAACGTGTGCTCCACCTTCCCCGGTCTCTGGCTCGTTGAGAAGTGGGGTCGTCGTCCTCTTCTTCTCTTCGGAGCTATTGGCATGTGTGTCTGCCAGTTCATTGTCGCTATTGTCGGCACGGCTACCGATTCGGAAGTCGCCAACAAGGTGCTGATCGCCTTCGTCTGTGTCTACATCTTCTTCTTCGCTTCCACCTGGGGTCCCACTGCCTGGACTGTGACTGGTGAGCTGTTCCCCCTGAAGGCTCGCGCCAAGTGCCTGTCAATCACGACTGCCTCCAACTGGCTTCTGAACTGGGCTATTGCCTACGCCACTCCCTACATGGTGGACTCCGGCCCGGGCAACGCCAACCTCCAGTCCAAGGTGTTCTTCATCTGGGGTGGCTTCTGCGCTATTGCCGGCGTCTTCGTCTACATGTGCATCTACGAGACCAAGGGACTCTCCCTGGAGCAGGTCGATGAGCTCTACGCCAAGGTGTCTTCTGCCTGGCGCTCGCCCGGCTTCGTCCCCTCGGTGCACTTCACTGATGTTCGGGATGTGGCCGAGGGCAAGGCCCGTGGCACTCTCGGGGAGTTGGAGCACGATGCTCAGATGAAGCGTGAGCACGAGCACATCGAGTCTGCCTAAGGATATGATCTGGTTTTTTGTTGTTCTTTGTGTTGGAGTACGGGTTGGACATTGGGATTAATAATTTGGAACGACATTTGTCATGTATAGTATGAGCATTTTTGTTTGCGAAGCGCAGCGATTGAGTCATGTCATGTGTTATGAGAATTATAACTGTCATATGTGTCAAGTGTCAGTGTCATATTTAAGAATGTGAATGATGCATACCTATTGAAGCTTGAGTGATGATTTCTAGTCCACAAAACTCCTTTGAACCAATTGTAGCAGTGTACGCAGAAGTCCGACGTCACCGGCTCACACCAGGTTCCCCGCCGAGGACGGAGAAGTACGGAGTATGACGCCTGAGGCGAAAACCCGGTCTAATTGGGTGCCACCGCCCCACGGGATTACGCGCAATGGCCCCTTTCACGTGATCGCAACCAGGAGTTCCTCTCCCAAAGCGGCAATCACGGGGGCTGTTCCCGCTCCACCGAACACCCTCCATCATCATCATCCCCCATCATTCCTCATCATCACCTGCTTTTCTACTGCCGATCGATCGTCCTTCCTCTTATTTCGTCCCCTTCCCCCCCCACCCCCCCCCACCCCCCCCCCCTGATCTCCTTAATTCCTTTTTCTTCTGGTCTCCTGACAATGCGGCACCCTGTACTTTACTACCTCCCCTGATCGCATCATGTTTCTTTCGTCCGACCCTGACGGTGAGACCCTGGGTCCATCTGTCAGTATCAGCCGTGGGCCGGACCCCGGCCCAGTCTCCCAGGACAATAAATCGCACTACTTTAGCACCGCCATCGAAGTGGGAACCATCGAACAACAACACCATCATGAATTGGGCTCGCGAGGGGATCGGTCATCACCAAAGGGATTCGAACTGCAAGACTTAGGCCCTAAATTGAACAGTGACGACAAGAACTCCGCCACAGTAACCGACAGACTCCTCGGAGACGACGAGATGAGCACCACGATCTCGACGATGGCCTCGCATCCGCTGTTCCCGCCACTACCCACTTATGGACCGCCCTCCTTGGTCCTAGCGCTGAAATGTCTTCTGATCCGCTGCGTCTCCTTCGTTCTTTCGCTCCTGTTTCTGGGTACGGTCATGGTCGCAGCCATCGTGCACACCGTGGTCAATGCCATCATCTCGCCTTCTCACCGCAGTCGACGTGGCCCGGAATCTAGCGAGGGGCGCAAATTCTCCGCAGAAGAGCGGTCACGGCGCACGGAGCGGATTAAGGCGCTGCGGCGCTGGAGTTCTCGACAGGAGAAGGAGGTCAACGAGGAAGGGCTGGATGAATGTCCACCGTTGGAGGGTGGCAAGGATCCCATCGTCTGTGACGTGGCGTACTATGCCCGTCGCGTTGGCTTAGACGTTGAGACATTCAAAGTACAGACGGAAGACGGTTTCATTCTTACGCTATGGCATGTCTATAATCCGCAAGAGTACACTCCTTTGCCGGCCAAAGACCGTCGACATCGCGGACCGGACGTGTTTACGGGCAACACGAACCCTGAGGCCTCGAAGCGTTCTACGCCTCGCAAGTATCCCGTCCTCCTGATGCACGGGTTGCTTCAAAGTGCCGGGGCTTTCTGTGCCAATGACGACGACAGTCTTGCGTTCTTTCTTTGCAAATCTGGCTATGACGTCTGGCTGGGCAACAACCGGTGCGGTATGACGCCTGAGCACACCACTCTCCTTGAGACGGACCCACGCATGTGGTCGTGGAACATCCAGCAGATGGGCGTGCTCGACCTGCCGGCGCTCATCTCGCGCGTCCTTTACGAGACTGGCTTTGAGAAGTTGGGCCTGGCGTGCCACTCCCAGGGCACTGCGGAGACCTTCATTGCCCTTGCGAAAGACCAGCGACCCGAGTTGGGAGAGCATATTTCAGTCTTTTGCGCTTTGGCCCCGGCGGTGTACGCGGGCCCACTGATCAACAAAGTGTGTCTGAGGTTCATGCGTATCATCCCGCCACTCATCTTCCGCGCCTTCTTTGGCATCCACTCGTTTATCCCGTTCATGATGACCGTCCATCGCCGTCTACATCCCCGCATCTACGGCGCCCTCGGCTACTATGTTTTCTCGTTCCTGTTCGGCTGGAACGACGCCCGCTGGGACCGCGCTCTTCGCGACCGAATGTTCCAGTTCGCACCAGTCTATGTCAGCGCAGAGACGATGCGGTGGTGGCTCGGACACGGATGTTTCGCAAACCATAAATGCATTCTCGCGACGGAGGAGTCGACGCTGACCGAGATGGAAGAGGACCTTCGCCACAGCAACGAGTCGCCCCCGCCTCGCCGCGATACCGCATGGTACGGACCCCAGGTTCCCCCGATGGCCTTGTGGATCGCCGGCTCGGACAACCTCGTCGACGGACAGCAATTTCTGCAGCGGTTGCAGAAGGGCCGTGAACCGCACGTCCGCCTGGTGCACGCCAAGATCATCGAAGAGTACGAGCACCTGGATGTCTTATGGGCCATGGATGCCGTCGACCAGGTGGGACAAGAGGTGCGGCAGGTGTTGTGGCAGACAATGCCGGAGGAGGCGCGGGCGGTGTGTCGTGTGCCTCGTGGCGTGGAATAAGGTGGTTGACAGAGGGTTGTATATACACGACGCGGACCCTGTACATATTTAGATTTGTTCTGTATCCTTAGACACGAGACACGACCATAGACATATTAATTAAGCCTTGTGAGTTCAATCATGTATTTCCCTTCCCCAATCGCCACCCCCGAGCCAGGGAGATGAGTCAATGCCTGCCTCCAGTCAACACCCCAGCAACGAGACAAAATACTTAATGCCAATGCTCCCCTTAAAACCGCAACACCGTCCAGTACCCCCGGAGATCCTCCTCCCGCACCCGGGAATCGCTCAAATCCGCCCGCACCGCCATCCACCCATGCACCTGGTCCCCGAAACGTCTCGACCCGATGCGGCACGCTCAGCCTCTCGTCAAACGCCTGCACCGTCTCCGGGGCCTTTTCCCGCAACGCGAGCAGCACATGCGGCACGGAGATCTTCTTCGCGCCCGCGGGGTCAATCATCGCCGGGTGGGTGGCCGCGGCAACAGCGAAGGGGCTTTGGGATGTGTTGGACGTCACCGGTTCGGGGATTTTTCCGCCCTAGAAGAACGGTTTCCTTATCAAAGGGGCCTCTTTTGGGTTGGAAGGATTGGGGGTAGGAACTGGGCGAGGCGCCGCGCGACTGACATTCAGGTTGAGCGGGGGAACGCGCAGCGGGGGAACCATGGGGAGTGGGCTGATTTTAGCTTCGATGCTTGATTAACGAGTGCATTATATCGACAGGAACATGCCACAATACTTCAATCCGACTCGGAGAGCGAAAAGGCAGGGTTTTGTACCGAAGAATTCCGAGCCCGGGTTCTCGGAGGCAGGCCTCGCATATACGGCCGGCGGGAGGATGGAGTTAGGGCTAGTCTGAGGTGGTCCCCGTCTATCATTCCAAGTATCATCTCATCCGACGATATATTGAGCACAAGTGGTAGCTAACGCATCCTGACACCTAGATGGAGAGGTAAAGACTAAAAGACGATAATGCGAATCGCAGTTGCAAGCCTATTGTTGAGGCTGAACCTCACCAATCAATCATTATAACACCCCCACACTCCAACGTGAAGAGTGATAAGGTTGTAAAGAAGAATAAGACGATCTTCTATTTTCTGGGTCTCCAACTGCCCGTCATCCTGCAGCAGCTCAAAGACTATACTTCCATTCGCATGGATATGGTACCAGGCTCAATCGGAGCCCGAAGGGATTCCAAGCAAACAATTGCGCGCCGCCCGCAATTTTCGGGCGAAATGTCCCAAAATCGGGCAGTTCGGAGCCTCCCATTTAGGGTTGTTTTCCTATATCTGGTCCAGACTCTCCACCTTCTGACAAAGTCCAATGTCATACTTATATGAGATGAGGAAAGAGAAGCGTTGAGCACCTTCCATCCTTCTAGATGTGGCCCTTATCACAGAAATTGGTAGAGCTCCTGGGCATGGCGACCGTCTCCGCCCTCCCCAAGACCTGCCACGCGCCGGAGCTTCCTCTCCCCCTGCGACAAGTCTGTCAATTCCCATCCTTCCCCACCTACCTGGGGAATCTCTACGTGCGCTCCAACGGCGATCACCTTGCCGTGGCCGCCTTCCTCGACGCCTAAGGGAGTTCTCGCCAGTATAGCGTTCTGACTCTTCACACACGTGCTGGTAGCGCAACAAACTGGACTGTCATCCGTGCATCCGTTCTCATTACCGCTGCATTTACCCTGGACCTTCTACCCATTGGGCAACATTTGATATGCCGGGCCCGAGCGTCAGAGACCCTGCTGGCTAGGGCTTTTGGGAAACAACGCGATGTAACCGCCAAGAACCGCTAAAGCTGATTTCTTATTAAAAAGGACTCGGGAGTATGCCTTTGCCCCCCTTCCCCTTCCACTCCTCCTGTGGCCAGATCTACTAAATTCTACGCCATCAATATGGAGACTCTCCCAACTGAGTTGATTGACACTATTGTGAGCTGGCTCGATCTCCGGGATGTCTGCGCTCTCCGTCTGACTGGACGTACTATCTCATCCCACCTATCCACTGCCGCTATTCTTCGGAGATTTTTCTCTTCCAAGAGATTGGAAATGACAAAAGCCCCCCTGGAACAGCTGGTTCACTTCACCCAGCCAGGACAGGTGGGCCTCTGGCTTCAACGCCTCACGCTGTATGACTGTGTCGAGCGCACAGAGCAGTCTGGTGCTAATTTCGACGCAACCGAGCTACTGGCCCAAGCATTTGCGAACATACGCGACCGGCCACCACCTCACCGGGACGATCAGCTGTCGCTCTCTATCTCCCTGGAGGTCGACAACTTCTCTACTTGGGACAGGGATGTCACAGCTCGGGTGTTCCACCCGACGATCTCCGCCATCGCGAGGACGGAGATCCCGATCCGGGAACTTGATATTTTTGGTGACGCTTACGTGCATGATCACCACTTCGAAGACGGCCAATGTAGCTTAGCTTTTAGCGATATCGCTCTTGCTCTATCTCACCACCGGGTCCCCCTGGCAACATCTTTGCGAAACTGTACCAAGTTCTGCCTAAGTCTAGGCTACTCGACCCGCGGATTCGATTTCGAGAGCAGCAACAGCACCCGCAACTTTCGTCTACCGCTGACCGTGGACGAAGCCCGACAGAATACTCAATCGCTTTGTGATCTCCTCAACATGTGTCCTCTTCTCGAAGAGCTACAACTCGTGTGGGAATATGACGATCTTGAAGAAACGGATGCGTGCAGAGAAGAAATCGAGTTCTTCGATCGGGTAGGTTTATCCTGCGCATTTACGAACTTGAAGCGCTGTAAACTGCAACATATCTCAACGTCCGAGAACCCAGTCATGACCTTTTTCCGCCAATCCCCGAGGATGGTTGAGTTGACTTTGGATGGATTGTATATGACGCCCGGAAATTTCAGTCATCTCTTCCACTTATTGTCTACAGCGATGTCGGACTTGGATTCTTTACGGCTCCGGTTGCTGACTGACGACTTGGGTAGTCTCTACTTTTTCCACGAACCCAAGGAAAGCACATGGCACAGAATGCCAGGATCTGCTCTACATGGTATAAGACGAAGAGGAGCCGACGCTAGAAGGCTGGTGGTACCTACCAACAGAAGACAAGAGTCTTAGGATATGAGATACTGAGTCAAAGTATGGATGAATATTAGGACTTTATAATAATCGGTATAATCTGAGTGAGAGCATATACAATATATCTGTTTGCAAAAATGTGACCTGGACAGTTTAGTAGTGCAAGCTAACTTATGGTTATTCATTGTGATAGAGTCAGAGGTTTATCCAACTCAAAGTGCATATATTACTTCATCGAGGATAAACTAGCTAGATCAGTGACCCAACTGAATTATGATCTATCAGTGTAAGCTCGAAGCAGAACAGAGTCCCTAGCCTAATGTGTAGCATGACCTGTAAACTAATACCTGTCTCACCAGCTTCTAGTCCCGGTATCTTCCAGAATTATACATTTCTACTTTTCAAAATCCCTTTGCTATAATATTTGGACACTTCAGAGCTGGAGGCCCCTTTGAATATCAGTTGTAATACCCCCCTCTTGTTGACATGTCAGCCCGCTTCTCGACAGTTCTTGTCCATCTCAGCATTGGAATGATAAGTAGGGGATAAGGGTTATAAGGTCCCTACTCCCATATTTTCAATTGGGAACTGTGCTGATCTCTTCTAACTTCTATTCTCTTTTACTCTTACTTGGGGGGGTTTTTTTGCCCCCTTTGAATTCCCTACAAACCATCTATTCCGAAATGAAGGCCACTGCCCTACTTCTAGCTGCTGCCACGGCCATTACTGCTCTAGCTCATCCGTCGTCCCTCACCAACCGTGCCGACGGTGTCTGCAACGCAGCCGATTATCCCAATCCTGCCTGCTGTACCATAGACGTTTTGGGCGTTGCCGCTTTGGACTGTAGCACTCGTGAGTGGATGACAGGAATTACTTCGCTGTGCAAGAATTGCTTCCCCCCCCCTTTTTATTTGATGTGTATACTCATACAAGCATATATCTGAGTGCTTATGCATTATGAGCGCGACCGTCATTTGATCCTTCACTAAATCAAAATCAATGAAATAGCCGCCAGCACGATCGACTTGGTCGATTTCACACAAAGCTGTGGGGGCAACTGGGCAGCTGCCAGAATGTTGCGACAGGCCCGCCGGTGAAGCTGGAATTCTCTGCACGAAAGCTTAATTGTGCCTCAGGAAGAAAAGGACGACTGTTGTTTTCTTCCACGTGTTTTGGGAGCAAGGTGTGCATGTGTGTGTGTGTGTGTGTGTGAGAGAGAGAGGGAGAGATTCTGGGCAAAAGAGCTGAAAAGTAGCCTAAGAATTGAACCTTAAATGGGGAGGAGTCCCGGTTCGGCTGCAGTCGGCTAACAGGTCAAGAATAGCTATGCTGTACTGAAAATAGATTCAATAACCCCTTTTCCTGCTCTAGCCTGACAAGTAGCTTTTTGGTTTGTAGTTTAAGGTTGATCACAATCAATGAAAGATCTGCCTTCCTACCTAGGCGTTTACAATACTGAAGAACGTCGGTTTCTGACCTCCGTTTCATTGGAAACTGATGACACCTGCGAGAGAGGTGGAAGGTGCTTGGTTCCGCTACCTGAGACTATCTGCAAGGAACTTGCGAAGGCCACCGAGGTGGGATGACCTCTCAAGGTTGTGCCTTACCCCTGAGTTTCAATTATGCTGGGAGCGCAGTATACAGACCTATCCCATCAATTTAGTTCACTGTGATATGTATGTGATATAATACTAAACCAAGATCTTCATAAACTCTACTGAGTATTGAACATAGCAATTGCAGGGATCCAGATCGGAACTGGGCCGTCCCGCCGAGCTATTAAACGCTGACTTACCATCAGTGATTGAATTGCCAGCCCCGCACCTTGACACCATTCCCAATGGCGATAGATTGAAGGCAGAAATGTAATAAGTAGTCTTATAGCAGGGGCTATAAAAGCCTGCTATTTTCCTTCAAAAGAGAATCTCGCACGTTGTTTGATTCTTCTTCTACTCTCTTCAAATCTATCTACTTTAATAATGAGGACCTCCACTCTTCTCCTCGCCGCGGTCACTGACACTACTGCTCTAGCTGATCCGGCTGCCCTAATCAGAGGTGCTGGCGGTCCCTGCGACGGTCCTAATCATCAAGGACAAACTCAGAGTATTACGGTCCGCGCAATTCGTAACTTCCGGATGGTTCGTCGCTCAGCAGTAGGGTCTCAATCTGTACAAAATAACAGAATCGGATGAGAGCCGAGTGAAAGAGGTTGGGGATACTGTTTTGAGATTCAAGTGTAGGATTGTGAATAGTCTACGGAGTACTCTGTACCGGCACCACTATCGTACCTATCTCTTGTTTGTATGACGGAAACCGCACTTCCATCTTATAGGGAATCTGAACCTACCGTAATCCGACGTTCACTAGTGCTATGGATCGATCTGCACCGGCCAAAGGTCTATCTTTACCTCTCGTTCTTTTCTCTTTCCCTAGTTGATAGCACCGGGAGTCTGGGAGCAATGCGGAGTTAGGCCGCAGTCTGCTGACTACTCGTAAGTTGAACGCTTGATAACAAGTCTCTTCTCCAGGATCGGAGAATGTTTCAAGCGTTTGGTCTTGTCTTTTTCATTTTCATTTTCCCATTTTCTTTCGTTCTAGACAGAGAGGCTCCTGACTAACCCATTAACAACAGCTGGCAGCGTAACCGACTTGGACGGCTTCAAGAACAGTTGTATTAAGCCCGGCGAAATCGCCTACTGCTGTGAATTCGTGGCGGATGGCCGTGAAACCGACTGTACGGAAGTTTAGATTACGCCTCAGAGGGGTTATTCTCGTGGTGACGTTGAAGAAAGTATCTAGTACCTATGTGTGAAAGCGGAAGTGTGGAGGAAGGAGAAAAGAACAAAGGCCTGTATAAGGGGCTAGGGCATCAGTGGTGACTTGAAGTACTATGTATGTGACCTGGGACTCGGATAAGAAGCTCGGTTCTAGTACTGAGGTTATTTGATTGCTTATTTATTCATTGATTTCTTGATTTTCGATTTTTTTTTCTTCTTAGAAAAAAGACTCGGCCGGGTTTTGGACTACGTACGTCGCTGGTTTTAGGTCGACCTTTCCGCGTAGAGGTGTCAGTTGCCTATGGATCCGTCCTAACCCAGGCAGAGGCAGTCAGCACGCGCTGAGCCCGTTCGCATACGGTTGGAGACTACCTAGATGTTTACATGCATGCGCTGAGTTGATCGCTGGCGACGCGGTCAAAATTGTATAGATGTGCCCGAGAATACCAACTGAGATCACGTCACCCAGGGAAGAACGGATCCGCCTCCTGCGGACCGAGCCATTGCATCTGCAACCAGTCGTCCATCCTGGGGAAGGAATAATCCATCCCTGTATACTGCGGGGCAGGGTACGAGCCCAGCATTGACGGCATCATCCGTCGGCCGGCTAAGCCGAGTCAGACACGAAAGGGGTCAAGAAAATGTGGAGTTCATTAGGCTTACCTTCATTCAGATCCATGGAATGCGACCACGTGGTCATCCCCAGCCCCGTCGTAAAGTCGCTGCTGGTGACCGTCGACACGCCCTGCGTCACCACCATCGGCTCGCTTTCCTCCTCCGTGTTCGTCGCACTCCGGTTCCCGTCCCCGGCGCGCGCCAGGGTGAGACTGACGATCTCTGTCGCGCGCTTAGCCTCCCGGGACGAGGTACTGCGTCGCATCCAGATGGTGCGGGCCCGCCGCAAGGCCGCCAGGACTTCTTCCGTCCGCTCGCCGAGCGGCTGCGCCTGGTGCAGCAGCGAGCAGAGAATCATCGTCGCCGTCAGAAAAAGGTGGTTCATGCTGGATGTAATACGCCAGCGCATCTCGTGGAGCTGGCCGCCCGGGCAGGTCTCCTCGTCGAGCACGTGCTGGATATGCAACGTCCCCAGCGAGGCATCGATACAGGCGGTGCGCGAGTACGCGAAGGGCGGTTCTCCGCTGGCTTGTCCGCTGACGTTCTCGCCAGCGCCAGCACCAGCACCAGTCGCTGTTGCCGACGCCGTGGCTGCAACATGCATATCCAAGAAGCGTCGATGCAGCATGATCTGGCCCTTGTAGAGGAGGTGGCCCAGGAAGAGCCGCGACATGATCACCTGCGGCGAATCGGTCACGCTCGTCGCCAGCGGCTTGATGCGGAGCGGCGGGGGGATGCTGGCCACGGCGTCGTGCAGTGCCTTGTCTGCTTGCATGATCTCCGCGTAGCTGACCGGTTTGACGGCGTCCGCGAGATCGGCGATCGCGCCCAGTGCAATGATCAGACGGCGCCGGGCGATGATTCCCAGCGCGGTGGTGTGCTCGGTCTCGGGCCGTGCCGGCGGTAATTGTGTCAGCTCCTGGTCCAGGTCCATGTCGTAGAGATTGCGGGGCTCGGCCGTGTCGCACTTCCAATCACAGATCATCCGTGGCATGCCCATCTGGCTGGAGAGGAGAATATCGCTCGTTAGTACGGTGGCCCAGAGTCGTCGTCGCATCTCCCCCTGCAGCGGCGAGATGCCCGGGAAGTGGCTCGGGTCGCGGTGGTAACCCATTCGCATCGCCAGGTTGACTTCCAGTCCTAACAGAAACCAGATGTTCCGATCCGCGTCCGGATTGATGCCGAACTCGATGTAGAGATAGTGCACCACAGTTTCCAGCACGTATTGTCCAGGCTTTGTATACTCGCCTAGAACCAGGCATTGCACGATCTTCTCGCGGTAGAGGTCAATCTGGAGGGATTTCTGCTCCGCTTCGGGCCCGTCGGTCGTATCCGACGCCACCACTGCCAGGCACACCATGCTGAACAGAAGACCCACCCATATGATGGACACTCGACTGGAGTCGGCCCAGAATGCCTCATACTATGAGACTATAGTCAGCATGGGCTCGCAGGTCATCTGAAGTATGCCAACTTGCCTCTCGTAGAAAACTGGGCCCATGTACCGCAGCTAGTACACCGTCCTGAGTTAGTCCAGCTTCATCTCGAGACGGTCGGATGATAGCCAATGGAGGACGAAGAGAGAAGTGCGTGTCTCACCTGATGCAACTAGGTCTAGATAGTTGAAATAGCGCGAGATGTAGCGGTCGACGGCGGCCTTGGGCGGGAGAGCCGCGATAATCTCCGCCCGCGACGTGGGCCGGTGACATCCATACAGCAACAAGGCATGGCGAAAGTGGGGTGGTTCCTCTTCACTGAGGTGAGTGGGCGTCTCCGCCAGGGCGATCTGCTCCTCGCGGTCACAGTGGGCTTTCAGGTCGGCGATACTGTCCAGGATGGCCGCCCAGTGCTCGCCGGCCACATACCGCAGCTCGGAGCCGGTGATCTGCATGCTTCCGCAGTCCGACTGCGTATCGAGACCACTGGCCGACTCCTGTCGAATACCTCCACTTGAGCTGGAATCAGGCGTGGCCAGTGGCTGCGGGGGCTTTTGGGGGTGAGATACCCTCCCGTCGGCCATCAGCGACTTGACGAGACGCTCCAGGTGCACCAGCCGATCATGGACTCCGGAGGTCCCGCTGGACGGGGCCGACGAGGACGATGCTCCGGGCCTGGGCGTTAGGTAGACGCACGTCTGACCCCGCGAGAGACAGCTGGAGCATGTGGGCTGTTGCCGATCGCATCGGGACTTTCGTTGACGGCACGCGGCACAGGAGAATTGGGGCTTGTCACGCCTGCGGCGGGGCTTGGCGGGAGGGATCCCGGAGGATGAGGAGGGAAGCGGGTCCTGCGACATGGAGACATTGGATGAGGGCATTTTCTTAGATTGATCAAAAGAGAGAGAGAGGAACAACGGAGGATGAAGGCAGGACGGATGAAGGATGTGTAATTCATAGTGAGTGATGCTGGTGGTGTGGAGGGGGATTCTTTGAGACGGACGGAGTCAGCAATGAATGAATGCCTTAAGCCCGGAAACTAGTACTAGTGCTCTCGGCCTAAGGCCAACATCCGTATATACGACGCCGGCGGGGGTAATCGGCCCTAATCGGAGAGAAGCCCGCATATACGATCCGAACACTCAACATTGACGCTTTTGTTTTATAAAACAAATGTACTTGGCACCGATTCCGGTGGTGTGATGGAGTCTCTCACCTTTAAAAACTTTTACCACCGAAGTATATACACACTTTACCAACTAATTCCGAACCATCCAAGCATTGAATGCAGTCAGACAAACAGACACAGTCTGATATGGAGGCCAAACGAGAAGACACCGAGACAGCTGTCAGCGCAGTCTCTCTCGAGACCAGTCTGGTTGAAGACAAATCAACCAACAACGACGATATCGTCGATTGGGATGGCCCTGAGGATCAGCAAAATCCACACAACTGGTCCAGTGGCAAGCGATGGGCCCATGTCATCGTGGTCGCCTTAATTTCTTTGGTCATGTAGGGCGCTATCTTCCCGCGCCCGGGCAGAATGAACCCTCATCCATCCATCCATCCATCCATTCACTAATCATTTACCATCTTAGGAACATGGGTCCAACCATGTGTGCCCCCGGTATCAACGAAGTCCTCGACACCTTTGATAGTCACTCGTCCACGGTGGCTACTCTGGCCGTCACCCTCTACGTTCTGGGCTTGGCCATGGGTCCGATGTTCATGTCTTCGCTCAGCGAGGTGTTTGGCCGGTTACCCGTGTATCATGTTGCCAATCTCTTTTTCGTGGCGTTCGTGATCGGAAACGCCTTGAGTCAAAATCTCGCCACTTTTATGATTTGTCGCTTCATCTCCGGCTGTGCAGGAGGCACCCCAATGGCTCTGGGGGGTGGGACAATTGCCGATGTCACGGTGATTCAGCAACGTGCCCTTGCCATGTCATTGTACAGTTTGGGCCCTATGGCTGGGCCGGTAGGGTTGACTCTCCCTCTGTACCTGTTACGCATAAGCTGACCATATATTGTCATGTGGCTAGGTACTTGGTCCCCTCATCGGTGGCTTTGCCGCAGCCGGTCTCGGGTGGCGTTGGACCTTTTGGCTCCTCGCGATCTTCGGGGCCGCAGTTGGGATTGCAGCCTTGGTGGTGATGCGAGAGACACATCCCAAAGTCCTGTTAGAGCGTAAGGCAGCCCGTCTTCGTGTGGCGACTGGGAACTCGCATCTACGATCCAAGATGGCAGACAACCGACCGCCGCAGCAAGTCCTGCTGCAAGCCCTCGTAAGGCCCACTAAGCTTTTATTCCGGTCCCCCATCTTGTTAGTGATTTCAATCTACATGGCCCTCATCTTCGGACTCATGTATCTTCTGTTTACCACGTTCACGGACGTGTTTGAGAAGCAATACGGATTCACTACCGCGACCTCCGGGCTGGTCTATCTGGGCCTGGGCGTGTCGTTGGTCGGTTGCATGTTTATTGCCAAGCCCCTGGGAGATCGGGTGACAGCCGCGCGCATGAAGAAGGACGGCGTCACACAGCATCGACCTGAGTATCGTCTGCTGCTGATGATCTACTTCTGCCCCTGCGTTGCGATCGGTCTCTTCATCTATGGCTGGACGGCTTACTACAAGGTGCACTGGATAGTGCCCATCATCGGTACTACGGTGATAGGGGTTGGCTCATTCTTTGTCATGGTAAGCAAGCTTTTCTTCAGACTACTAGGTAATCAATCAGATTGCTCACTTTTACAGATGCCTGCCCAGCTCTACCTGATCGACCTCTTCGGATCAGCAGCCTCAGCCTCAGCCTTGGCGGCCAACAACGTTTTACGGTTCATCTGCAGTACTTTTTTGCCGTTGGCCGGGCCGGCGATGTACCAGACGCTGGGGTATGGGTGGGGCAATACTCTGCTGGGGTTTCTGGCGCTGGCCTTCCTCCCTGCGCCCGTGCTGTTTTACAGATACGGCGCGTGGCTTCACGCGAAGACGGCTGCAAACTTCTGATGTTCCCTGATCTGCTCTTAGTATACCATATGTATACCATAATGCTATTGAGTAGTTTGATTCTCGAAGTCGAAAATGCAATGCTAGCTTGGTAAACTAATAAGACTTGAAGTCCTTGGCTTCGGACCATACGGGCCAGCGGGTATTTCCACGTCACCTACCAAAGGGTGACCTGGTCCGTGATACTGTTGAGCAGGTGGTTGCAAAGGTGGAAGAAGAGGTCAAGGAGGATGAAGGGAAGAGCAGGAATCAGGGACTAAGACCAGCCCGCTTCCAACCCTAACGGTCAACAGCAGCTCGGGCAGTCCCTTGCCCACCCACGCTGCTTCCGATCTCGAGTCGGTCGAGTATCTGGAGGGGCCGGGAAAGACCTTGGCTTTCGCGTCAAAGAGTGCATTCGGGAGATTTCTTGCCTCAATTTTAGTCACTTTGTCCAGCATGTCTCGACATTGGACCGATCGGAGAATGGAAATCGATCTAATGTATACTTCTAACTACTCCTCCATATCGTTCGAACCCTGTGGCTGTGGGGACTGGCCCGCCGCTGCCGCCACAATCCAATTCAGCGAGTGCCAAATTTGCTGTTTCTGCCCCGCTTTCCATCGGTATGTGATGACCGAGTACTATAAAAAAGTCTCATTAGATATTATCACTAAAGTAGTTAATTCTTAGCAGAATCTTACCTGGCGTAGCTCATTCAGCATAATAAAGTCAAACTGATCGCCGTCGGCTATACACCAAAACAGCCAACTTTCCTCTTCCCCGCCTCCATTCTCGCGAGATTCACTGACCCTAGCTTGGTATTAGATACACGCGTTTGCTATATAGAGGGGAGGATACAAAATACTTACCCATGTAACCAAGGAGCTGAGGGAGGCCGCTGCTCACCATGGCTTTTCTCTTAACTTCCACAATTATTAGTTGGTGGAGGGGTCGTTCTGCTGGTCGTACCAAATGGAATAGTCCGACGACCCCCCGGGCCGTAAACTTGACTTTCTCTTTGTAAAAGAGATGGCCAAGAGCTGTCTCAAATCCTAGGCTCATTTCCTGCGCCCGACGGTGTCTGCTGACTCGCTGTTGGCGCATAACAGCACTCAAAGCTCGATCAGTTCTGACCCTGGCCCAAGCTTCGTTCTTCCCTCAGCTTTCGATGTCTAGCGCAAGTTTTGAAGAAGTCGAAGGAGTAGTCATCCTTTGCACACGCGATTGTCTTTCTGTTATGGACAGTTGCCCGCCTCATGCCGTTCATTGTCATTGACTCTGTTTCTGACAAGAAAGCCGGCTTCGTCGGGTTCTTTAGTGACTCTGTGTGATGGAAAACCCTCTGGCCGTTTTGAGAAGACATCTTGTTAAACTTGATAGAGATAGACTGAAAAGAAAAAGGTTTCTTGACTTGAGGAGGAAATGGGTTCGTGGTTGTAGTTCTACTCCCTACAGTAATCAAGGGAGAAGTGTTGAGAAGTGTTGAGAAGTGAATGACATTGACTCCCCAATTCAAAGATTCAAGGAAGGAGCGGCCGCTGTACTGCCGGGACTATGTGAATACTAGCGGAGCTGGGTGCTTATAGGATGTAAATGAATTGAGTAAGCAAGCTCTCTACTTTCTTCATTTAGTGAATGTAGTGCGAGTGGGGCAAGAGTCGCCTACATCCATGATGGCTTCCAAAATTGGGACCTGTGTCCATACTTGTCCCTCAACAACCATCGACAACAACAGATGCGAAACCAATGCTTCTGATCCCATACGCTTTGCAATCAACAAAACCTTTCTCTTCAAACTCTCTCGATTCGATCCATTGAAAGGACCATGGTCCTTACTTCACTTCAAATGATGAACCTTTTACAATAATCCTGAGCAGATCCACCGAAGTAAACAAAAGGGGAAAAAGGAAAGAAAAAGAAGAAGAGTCGCAAGATTTCGAATCCTGTAAAGAGATCATAGCCCCTCGTAGCCCCAGTCAATGCGACATTCTGGTTGAAAACACATTCGTCAACGATAAATAACTGCCCTCAGCAGGAAGGTCCCCCAGGAAAAAATTACTACTCGGTTTCCTTCAGTAGCTTAGACATCAATGATGTATATACTTTTACTTTGTGAGAACCGAAAGTCCGTCAATTGTTAACTGGAATCCTGACTGCATACTATTCACCCCGGTTCTGGTTAGCTTTGCTCATTCTAAGCATACGGCGCGGAGACTGACTCGAAGAATCAAAGACGTAGGAGGTAGAGCTACAAGACACTGTATTTGAACCGATGTACGGCTGTAAAAAAAAAAAAACCCCCCGCAAAGCGCACCAGGGAGAGTATTCGAAAAGCAACTAATAGTAGAAGGAAGCAAGGGATCAAGGAGAATTCTATCCCGAGAATTGCCTAGTGTTCGTGTGATTTTGAGGCATTATTTGACTGAATGATCGCATGATTGATTCGAAAATCTTACCAAGATCAGGCGGTTTCAAAGGACGTGTAGTGCATCGCAGCGTAGCGAAGGGCACTTGATATAATTTATAATGCCGGGCGGTAAAAGACGAATTTAGGTACCCGGTCCTGTACTCAGACTGTACCTATTCTTACCCGCCTTCCCCGACACTTGCACCCCTCAATCGACAAGCCGCATCGAAATCTGGCATTTCACAATACACAAACGCGATGTACAGGACTATTGTGCGAGCCTTCGGTCCCCCAAAGGAGGTGGTTATCGGGGAAACCTGCGATTCACCACCTATCCCTGGACCGGGGCAGGTATTGGTACGGATGCTGCTCGCCAGTATCAATCCCTCGGATCTGATTCCAATCACGGGTGCCTACCGTACGAGAACCTCGCTGCCCTTTGTCCCGGGATACGAAGGAGTTGGTGTGATCGAGGCAGTCGGCGCCCATGTTTCTGAATTGAAGGTTGGCGACCGTGTATTGCCACTGGGAAGCGCAGGCGCCTGGCAGGATTTCAAGCTCAGCGAAGAACAATGGTGTTTTCCAGTGCCCGCCGATCTCACCGACCAGCAGGCTGCAACGGCCTATATCAATCCACTTACCGCCTGGATGATGACCAAGCAATATGCACCAGCTCCTCCAGCTACGGTGGTGGTCAATGCTGCCACTTCTGCTATCGGCCAGATGATCATTCGGATGCTCAATCGACTCGGCGTGCGACCAATTGCGCTAACGAGGCGACCCGATGTTCTAGATCAATTGATGAGTCGATCCGACGTAGCAGCAGTGATCTGTCCACATAATGGGGATTTCAAACAAAGACTTTACAAGCTGACTGAGAGTCGAGGCCTCCATGTCGCATATGACGCTGTTGGTGGAAGTGAGGGTGATGATCTAGCTCGCTCACTCGCTCGTGGCGGCACACTTATCCACTACGGGCTTTTGTCTGGCGTGCCCTTATCTCCTTCGCTGTACAGAGAATGCCCAGATGTCCAGATAGTTTTGTTTCGTTTGAGAGATTGGGTACATACCACCGAGCGTCGTGTTATCCAGTCCGCTTTGGATGAGGTTTTCGATCTTGTCCGCGAGGGCATCGCAGAATCAAAGGTTGCACGGGTCTTCCAACTTTCTTCGTTCAAAGAGACTCTGGACTATGAGGCTACCCTTGCCCGGAAAGGCAAAGTGCTTCTATCGATGTCGCCAGATCTGAGTCGTATGAATCCTTGATCTCGAATGGCAGTTTGGTCGAAACAATTTCAAACGATTTGGACGTTTCGTCCAGGGTTCGGATGACGATTGACAGAGCGTTTGAGTCTTCAGATATACTACGGAGCGGCAGCGGCAGTCTGTTCGGTCTGTTCATAGATCATAACAGATTGAGGATATCGACTACCAGGGTTTCGGTACTGCAATATGCTAGGAGGCTGGTAGTCTGTTTGTCGGCCGGCAGGAGCTTGGGGTTGTATTGGTCGGGAAGATGATTTCTTATGAGCAGTATATTTGCCTGACTTGATAAGTAATCATGATGATATTCAAGGCACTGTACAACTGAACAGAAAAAACCCTTTTTGGAGCTGGGGGGGAAATCAGTGGAGATGGCAAAAAAAACATGAAAAACATACAACAGAAGGGATTCGCTGGTGGTCACCCACCCAACTACTAACCTCCCGGCGTGTGGCTTAAGTACGGCTGAGCGGACGGGAAGCCCTGTTTTCCACACCCTATGGTCGTATGTATGGGGTGACATACGGTCGTTGCCTATATACTATGCATCCCACAATATCCTGTCGCGTAGTCGGTTTACCATATATCATAATTGGCCCTTGTGTTCAAGCGTTCCGCTCCGACTGCACGGATTCTACGGAACGATGCTGGCTTCGCGGTTTGAACACCCACCGCAGGAGGTTTACTTGGGTGCCTTCCTTTTCTATGAGAAATTGTCTCAGGTATCCTAAGCAAACTTTTGTGTGGCCAACTAATACTGCCAGAGGCTGTTGCCATAGAAGTTTCGTGGCCACACTATGTGGCAGAAACGGGCTACTATTTATAATCGGCCGACCACGTCGCCGAACACTACAACGCAATAGGCGGTGGCTACTGTCCTTCTAATTCCAGGTGTCACTACGGGTCTATCCCACCGGTTTCCTTCAGTCTTCAACTGACCCTGAGCCTATCTGTTGGCTACTACTATCCGAGAACTCGCTTACAGTATGCAGTATGCTCGGCGAATGAGCCAGGCTTTCGGCGAATGCAACCCACCCGAGCTGGCCGGAGCCCTCATCCTGCCCGACACCATATAAGGGAAACACCACGCAGAGGTACAGCCAGGAGAATCACCTTCGAAGCATATTCCACGGCAGTTAAACCACTCTTTATTCGTACGGACAACCTGAACAAACATGCAACCGATCACCCTCTACTCGCACCCCATCGGGCCCAACCCGTGGAAAGTCGCCCTCATCCTCTCAGCGCTCCAGCTCCCCTACGAGACCGTGATGGTCGACTTCGTCGACGTCAAAACCCCCCCCTACGTGAATCTGTGTCCTAACGGCCGTCTCCCAACCATCGTGGACCCCAATCAGAACAACCTGACCCTGTGGGAGTCCGGCGCCATCGTGAATTACCTGATCGAAACCTACGACTCAAACCACCAGCTCAGCTACGATACGTGTCCGGAGCGCCACCACCTCCAGCAGTGGCTGCATTTCCAGGTCTCCGGGCAGGGGCCCTACTACGGGCAGTTGGGGTGGTTCCAGCGGCAACCCGAGCGGGTGCCGCTTGCAATCGAGCGGTATACGGCGGAGGTCCGGCGGGTGATGGGGGTGCTGGACCGCGCGCTGGAGGGCAAGGAGTGGCTGGTCGGGGACAAGTGCACGTTTGTGGACTTGTGCTTTGTGCCGTGGCAGGAGTTGGTGCCGTTCATGGTGCGGGATGAGGCGGTGGTGCGGGAGCTGGTGGAGCAGTATCCCAATGTGAGGGCGTGGATGGGGCGGATGAAGGGGAGGGAGGAGGTGCAGAAGGTGTTGCGGGAGAAGCGGGAGGCGATGGAGCAGGAGCAGTCAAGGTAGTTCTTTTGCCTTTGCCTTTGGTGTTGGAGTGTTGGGGTGTGGGGGTATTTTCTATGCGGATGTGTTTACCCTGCGTATAGAGAAGGTATCGGTGGTCACTTGTTTAAAGGAAGCAACTCGTACGATTTGATAAGGTGACGGTTTTCCTTCCTGATTCAACTGTTGGGAGTCCTTCGAGGTGCAAAATCTGAATCCACAAAAGTTAAAAGTCTCCATGCGGTAAATGTTATACATTTAGAATATGATTATTGCTTGCAGACTACTACCACATCCATATTGACAGTTGAGGAAGGGTAGAATAATTAGTGCTCATTGGTTAAACCTGTGGCATGGCGATGCTGTGTATATTCACAAATGGAGCTTACCTTGGAAAAAGAGCCAGGATATTTGTGTACAACCCACTACCACTACCTAACAAGTTACTAAAGGGGCTATTGTAAAGAAGATTCCCAAGCTTAGACACACTACTTTTCGTACTCATGTACTATACGCTGACAGAGGGGTCCAGATCGATAAGGCAGGATTTCGCCGACATAGTGGGGCCGCCGGCCTTTGCCCACTTTAGCACATCCGATTATCCGTTCGTTCTATTGTACTCACTCACTGTTACTTAAATGCATGACCCTTCATTCTCACGACAGTCCTAGGCAGATATGTTGGACAAAGGACAGAATGACTATGGAGTCAGACAGCTTGAGTAGCAATGAGCCCAAACCGGTGCCCATCACCTCACCGGAACTTCCGGAGTGGGCGGATGATCCAGCCAATGCACAGAATTGGGGTATACAGAAGAAACTCTATAACACCGCCATACCTTCCATACTCTGTCTTCTGATGTAAGTACAGATGCAATGATAATGGAGAGGAAATGATAGCTAACTTCGAGTCCTCCCCTTCCAACAGATCATTTGGACTTGCCATCTACTCGCCCTCTCACGGCCATGTTCAAGCCGCGTTCCACACCTCCTCCACCAAGTCGCTTCTACCTTTCACCATGTACGTATACGGATTGGCATTCGGGCCCATGATTGCGGCACCCATCAGCGAGACCTATGGGAGGCGTTTCATCTACATTGTTATGACTCCGCTAGCAATGCTCTTCATCCTCGGCGCAGGGTTCTCTAACAATCTGGCAAGTCTCACGGTGTGCCGCCTACTAGCGGGCATGTTCATCTCCGCTCCGCTGGCTGTCGGAGCTGGCACAATCATGGACATGTGGAGCGGGCCAGCAACCGGTCGCGGGGTGACAATCCTCATGACCATCGCCTTCATGGGCCCCGCTATCGGATCTCTAGTCGGAGGTTGGGTGGCCGAGTACAAGAGCTGGCGCTGGTCGCAGTGGACGACGCTGTTCCTGGGGGCTGCCTGCTGGGCTTTCAGTGCCGGGGCGCAGGAGTCCTACGCCCGCCCAATCCTTCACCGTCGCGCTGTCAGACTGGGACTGCCCGTCCCCCCAAGTCCAATCCCCGGGGGTCTGGCCGGCGTCAAGATGATGCTCACCGTCACCCTGGCACGCCCGGTATATATGCTCCTGACCGAGCCTATCGTGGCTCTGTGCTCGCTCTATTCGTCGCTCAACTTTTCCGTCCTCTTCTGCTTCCTCGCCTGCGTACCTCTCGTGTATACTAATGTTTACGGCTTCACGCCGGGCCAATGCGGGTTGGTGTTCATTTCTCTGGCGCTGGGGTGCGCCCTGGGCTGTCTCGGGCTTCTGGTGGCAGACCAGTATACTATGGCTCTGCACCGTCGCCACCATCCCGAGGGAACTCCCCCGCCACCGGAACGAGTCCTATGGGCGGCGATGCTGGCTAGCCCGTGGATGCCGGTGGCACTGTTCTGGTTTGCGTGGACGTCGACTCCCGATGTGCACTGGATGAGCAGCATCGTCGCCATCGGGCTCTTTGGGTGCTCCAATATAATGATCTTCGTGCGTATTCCTCCTTGCTGCAAGCTCCGCTGTATTATTGACCGCATCGTCATAGGTGTCGACCGCCCTCTATCTGACGCGTGTTTATGGGGCGCAGTTCGGAGCTTCCGCGTTGGCCGCCAATGGTCTGTTGCGATACGGCATCGGGGGCTCGTTCCCTCTGTTCACTCTCGCCAGTATGGTCTTCTTATCCGTCTTTTCCCAGTTCTTCATCGGGTCTGATCGATTGTTTTTAGTGTACCATAACCTAGGTTATAGTTGGGCGTCTAGCTTGCTCGGCTTCTTAGCCGTGGTGTTTGCTCCTCTGCCGTGGCTGTTCTTCCGCTTGGGAAGTCGCATTCGGAAGCATAGTGCTTATTCGTCGTGAGGGACACATAGAGGGTCTGCGATTGCTGGGGATATACTGTACTTAGTGGCTTGAGATGATCGGGCTAGACCCCGTAAAAGAATGGATGTGATAGCGATAGAGTGGGAATAGGTAGAGTAGGCATGACTTTGCAAGGCGGCCGATTCATGTTATGTTTTGGGTGGGACTAGGACCCATAGATAGGTGACTACAGGGTTGTGCTGGTTGGGCTCGCCGCGCGAGTAGCTATAGCAAAGGACCTTTTCTCCTCAATCCATCTCGGATGGGCATACTTCATCTTCACTCTCCATGGACCTAAGCTTAGAATCTCTGTACGGTACACAATCCCCTCACAACATTTCAACACATTCTTCCTCCAGAGACCCTGACTTTCCTTTAACCTCATTCCTCGACAATACACCTTGACACCGATACGTTCCAAACGCTCTGGCCGAGACCCGTTCCGCGAACATCTCATCGATCTCCTCCAGCGACCGCTGCTTCAGCTCGGGGACCACGAACCACACGAACGCCGTCGCCACCACCGACAATCCTCCATAGATAAACGCCACGCTGCCTCCAATCGCCGCCTGCGTGTACGGCTGCACAAACACGATGGCGAGCCCCGTCCCGTACGCCGCAAACCCCGCCAGCGTCACCATCTTCTCGCGCACCGCGGCGGCCGGGGGCACCTCCGCCGTCAGCACCCACGCCAACGGGCCCCAGGTGCTCTGGAACGTGAAAAACCACAGCATCAGCATGACGACCGCGCCGACCTGTCGGCCGTAATTGTCGGTCGGCGTGCACGTCAGCCCGCCGATGGTGAGCATGCATGCGCCCAGCAGGGCGGCGGAGACCAGCAGCACGAGCCGGCGGCCCAGGCGATCGGCGATGGCCACACCGGTCAGGTTGCCGGCGATGCCAATTACGTACACAATGACCGACATCAGGAGGACTTGGCGGAAGCCGATCTGCTGCAGGAAGACGGCTTGGTAGTTGGCGACGAAGGAGATGCCCTGCGCTTGCTGGAAGACTTGCGCCCCGACATAGATGATGGTGCGGCGGTGGTGGATGGGGTTGGTGAAGCAGAGAGACCAGGAGGAGGAGGACTCGTCGGGTTGCTGCTGATCTTCTTGGTGCTGTTGCTGTTGCTTTTGCAACTGTTGTTGCTGTTGAAGGCGAGCGACCTCGACCCTGGCGTCCGCAAGGGGGATGCCGCGCAGTCGAGCCAGACTGACCCCGGCTTCGTCGCGGCGTCCGCGTTGCATCAGCCAGTAGGGGGACTCGGGCAGAATGGGCAGACTGATCCAGTTCAGCACCGGGATGGCGATCTGCGCCACCACGACCCCGCGCCAGGCCCAGTCCCCGGGGATGTGGCGACAGAGGTAGACGATGAGGGCCGCCACCAGTCCGCCGACCATCAGGAAGACGTTGTACGTGCCTGCCATCACCCCACGGAGAGCCTGGGGAGCGCATTCGCCCTGGTACACCGGGATCACGTTGGAGGCGATGCCGCCGCCAAAGTAGACGACGGCCTTGCCGACGAGGAACTGGGCATAGCTCGTCTCGCAGGTTGATTCGATGACAACGCCCACGCTCACCACGGCCGACTGGATCCACAGGCTCTTCTTGCGGCCGAACCGTTCGTTCAGCGGGGTGGCACACAGAAGCCCCAGGATGACCCCTGCGTAGCCCAGTCCGGTGCCCAGCGATTGTTGTCGGTCGCTCAGCACCCAGGCTCCTTGGACGTGACTGTAGTGTCCGAACCGACTGGCAAATTGCTGCGAGCTCATGATACTCGCCCACCAGGCTTGGTCGAACCCGAACCCGGCGGAGGAGAGGGAACCGAAGATTGCCACGGCCCAGATGGTCCATGGTAGATCCCAGATGCTATCAGACACGGCCATCCTGGAGGAAAAGCGCAAGGGAAGAACTATAGATACAAGAAGAGACTGGAGCTGGAGGCACGTTGTTGTTTTCGGCCGCAGACCTCTCTGATTCTTTCTCTTTGCTGAGGACCGTTTGCCGCCTTTTATCTCCGCGGAATACGAGAGAGGCAGCAACTACTCGATGGCATGCCTTGAGCATGATGTTACAGAGGTCTATCGGTCCTCGTGTCATCCAATCGCCACTCGGGTTCATTGGGGAAGGATTCGGTCTTGCTTGGCGAAGGCAGAAATCCTTAGTGTGTATGTTCGCGTCAAGCCGGTGGCGTCTGCTGAGCAGTAAAGGCGGCCGCGGAGGATTCATAGACTTGATCGAGCTTGCCAATAACAAGAAAGAGAGAGAGAGCGCTTGTCCCCAGAGAAGACCGAGCCAGGACCCCGGGTTCTATGCTCCCACGCTCCCACACACTAGTTGGTCCCTGACATACGACCCCCGGTCTTTGCAGCAACGCCCACGCGATGTGGGACCCACTTGGTTAATTGCTGATAAACTTTCGACGGTGAGGGGCCCGAGTGGATCATGGTCATGGTCCACTAGGTCGGCGAAATGCCCCCACTATTTCGCCGAGACAAGAGGGGGTCCGCTGGAGGCGAGGTTCACAAGAGGAGGAGGAATGGTGCCGCGACGACCTAATCTAGGGCAAGAGACAGCGAACATAGACGTCTCGTATTCACCCCGCTCGAAGACGGTAGGGACGCTTGGAACCGTAGACATCGGTCTGCACAAACCACCTCAACTCAAAAACCACAACCCCCCCTTTTACTTAGATGATCAGCATGTCAAACTCGCTCTACTTGCTCTACTTGCTCTACTTGCTCTCTCCTACCCTCAAAAAATGGCTTTCAATGCCCCCTCGTCCACTGTCGACCAGCTCCTCCAGTCTCTTACACTGGAGGAGAAAGTCGCCTTGCTTGCGGGCAAGAACATGTGGGAAACCGCCAACATCGACCGCTTGCACATCCCCAGTCTGAAGATGACCGACGGCCCGGCCGGAGCCCGCGGGTCCAAATGGACGTACGGCTCCCTGACCACATGGATTCCTTGCGGGGTGTCGCTAGCCGCCACCTTTGATCCGGCCCTGGTGGAGAAAGTCGGGACCGTTCTGGGGCAGGAGACCCGACGCAAGGGCTGCCAGGTGCTGCTGGCCCCAACCATGAACCTGTCGCGCTCGCCCTTGGGTGGGCGGAACTTTGAGGGCTACGGGGAGGACCCTTACCTCATTGGCGTCATGGCGACTGCGATGATCCGGGGCATCCAGAGCCAGGGTGTCGGGGCGTGCATGAAGCATTTCATCCTCAACGACACCGAGACTCGGCGATTCAATGTCGACCAAACGATTGATGAGCGCACCTTACGGGAGGTGTACATGAAGCCGTTCACCATGGCCGCGCGGGACGCAGCGCCGTGGACTGCCATGGTCAGCTACCCGAAGATCAACGGGTTACATGCCGATCTCAGTCCCGATATCCTGCCGCGGCTGCTGAGAGAGGAGCTACAGTATGATCGCTTGGTCATGAGCGACTGGGGTGGCCTGAACAGTACGGTCGAAAGCTTGCTGGCCACGACCGACCTGGAGATGCCGGGTCCGCCGGTACGTCGGGGGCAGCGTTTGTTAGCCGCCATCCACGACGGTCGCATTGACCTGGCTACACACGTCGACCCGAGTGTGCGACGAGTACTGCAGCTCCTGGAACAAACGGGGCTGCTGAAATCTTCCGATCCCACGGACGTGTCTTCCGAACAGACCAATGACGATCCTGCGTTCCATCAGATCGCGCGCGAGGCCGCGCAGAGTGGCCTTGTGCTGCTGAAGAATGCCGACGTGCTGCCTCTTCAACCTTCGAGGCTGCGGAAGATCGCAATCATTGGACCTAACGCTCGCAAGCCCACAGCTGGTGGAGCGGGCAGCGCCGCTGTCAATCCTTTCTATATCACCACGCCCGAAGAGTGCCTCCGAAACGCGATTCAAGCTGCGAACCCGGACACCAAGGTCACATATCGGTCCGGGATCGGCGGCAGCCTGCGCCCCCCTCTTTTGGGCAATAAATTAACTGTGCCCGACGGATCACTCCAGGGTCTCCAAGTGAGCTTCTTTGCAGGTCATACCTTCGGGGGCTCAGTCGTGGCGACCAGTCTGTGGGACGACTCCCTCATTTATCTTATGAGTGATGGCGATATTCCGGCCGCGCTGGAGGGTCGGCCGTACTCGTATCAGGCTTCCGGAATAGTCACTCCATCCGAATCGGGCCGCTACACCTGGAGCCTAGCCAACACCGGGAAAGCAAAATTGTTCCTCGACGACGAGTTGCTCATCGACAACAGTGAGTGGAGCGTGGTGACCGGTGGGTTCCTGGGTTGCTCGAGTGAGGACCGGATCGCTAGCATCCATCTCGAGGGTGGTCGCGCCTACCGGCTGCGAGTAGACAACGTCGTCACCTTGCCGCTCGTTGATGCCTTCGACAACACGCTATTCCCTCGCATATCGGGCGTGCGCGTGGGACTCGCCTTGGAGCGGGATGAGACGCTGATGCTGGAGCAGGCCGTCGCTTCGGCCCGCGAAGCCGACGTGGCCGTGGTCGTAGTCGGCCACAACAAGGATTCCGAAGGGGAGGGAGGCGACCGGGCGCACATGCAGCTGCCGGGTCGCACCGACGAGCTGGTGGCGGCCGTCTGTGCCGCCAACCCCAACACGATTGTCGTCGTGCAGGCGGCCAGTGCGGTGACCATGCCTTGGGTGGATGCCGCGGCGGGTATTGTGATGGCTTGGTACCAGGGCCAGGAAAACGGCCAGGCCCTGGCGCAGGCTCTTCTAGGTCACTGCAACTTTTCGGGCAAGCTTCCCATCACCTTTCCGCAGCGACTCGAGGATCATGGCTCGCACGCCTGGTTTCCTGGGGAGGCTGCGCAGGATCGCAACACTTTTGGAGAAGAGGTGCTGGTTGGGTATCGGTACCTTGATATCCAAGGAATTCCGCCCCTTTGGTCATTTGGGTTCGGCCTCTCGTATACTCGCTTTGAGCTCGACGATATTCGCCTCAGTGGAACCATGAGCGTCTCGTCTCCTGAGATCAGGGTTTCAATCCACGCGCGAGTTCTCAATGTTGGGGGTTGCGACGGACAGGAAGTGGTGCAGGTGTACGTGGCCCCCTCTGCACAGATTGAGGAGATGGGCCTTGTCGGGTATTCCAGGACGTTGGCGGGGTTTAGCAAAGTCATTGTGCCTGCAGGAGAGTCGCGCCAAGTGACTATTTCCATTCCTGGATCGGAGCTTAGGTGGTATGATGCGAAGACTGGGCAGTGGCGACTGGATGCGGGCATGTATAAGTGCTGGGTGGGGCGTAGCCTCTATGAAGTCGACAAGGAGTTGGAGATTCAGATAGAATAGACGAAGTGATGCGTAGCAAAAGTGCAATAATTGCTTTCTGAAGTGGCATATAGTGATGTGATGATTGTGATAGTGATACTGTGAGTGGAAAAGATGACGGTGTTGGAGGAATGAATGAATGCATCCAATAATGGCTTTCGGAGCAATGAATAATCCGAAAATCGGCTGCTGTTCAGCTCCTTCCATCCCACCGCTTCCTCTCAGCCATACTCCGTATTCATTATACTTCTCCTCCTCCTCCTTGCACAAGTCTGAACTCACTACGGTCGTCATGGAATGCACTACTCCTGTAGCCTGTCTAAATTGCCGAGACAAGCACCTAAAATGCGATGGAAATCTGGCTGGATGTACTCGATGCCAGTCGCTTAGTCTTCCGTGCCACTTCATCCCCTCTCGCCGTGGCCGCAAATGTCGTCCAGCCTTGCCAGCATCTTCCATTCTATCACTAGCTTCACCAGCATCATCGATACCAATGGTTCAGCTGAATGAGCAGCAACTACAACCGCACGAACAACAGCAGTCCAAAGAACAGGACCTGCAACAATTCGCTTCGTTTCGGGGACGGGAACAAGGCTTGCAGTTGATTTCACTGTACTATCTCCATTTTCACCAGGCACATCCTTTCCTGCCCCCAATGGAAACTCTCCTAGAATCTAATCCTCCATCCTACTTACTGGATATCCTGGACTTTACCAGTCTACATTATCTATCGTCCCAATTTTTCCATGACAGCAGCAAGATACTCCTTCTGGCGGTGCAGGCAGCCGAGCTCAGTGTCGAAAAGACCCAGGCTTTTCTGCTTCTGGCCATTGTGCAACACGGGCGACAGCAAGCCCACGAGGCTCGATCATGTCTCGGTCAGGCCCTTCAATGTGCGCTGGAATTGGGTCTGCACCGTCGCGAGGCTTCCGACGCGCTTGGCATCGACGCTCCCTTGAGAGCGGAGAGTCTCCGACGAACTTGGTGGGAGATCTTCGTGGTCGATGTGCTACTCGCAGCCGTTCAGGCCGATGGATATCTCCAATTTGAGATGAGGGAGACGCCCGAAGTCCCCCTTCCTTGCGGACCAGAGGAGTATCAGCCAGGCTGTATTATGAGTCCTCTCCTGCCCACGCTCGGCGACTTGGAACACAATAGTCTGTTCTGCGGAGATGTCGAGTTTTCACCCTGTGCCTACCGGATAGAAGCCGCCATGATGTTGCGAAAATGCTTGCGCGCGGGTGAGACACATGTCACGCAGGAGATGCTCGACGTACTCAGCGCCGCCATCACCGCCTGGTTCCATCGGTTGCCATCGAGTCAACGGCCCATCCTCCAGGCGAACGGCATCTTGGACGAGGCAATGATGCAGGCCGTGATGTTGATGCACTGCGCCAGTATCTATCTGCACTTTCCGCGCTCTTGCCTTCTGGCCTTTCTCCCCATCACCGGCCGTGTCCTTTGTTCGTCGCCGCCCGCACTCATCACCACTTCCCCGGATCCTCAATTGCACACCGCAAAGGTAGCGGAGAGTGCCGTCCAACTCTCCCGACTGGCGTCATTGTCACCCTCGGTCATTGACCACAGTCCGTTCTTTGGCTGCACACTGGTGATAAGCTCCGTGATACACGTAGCACTCATGCTCAGCGATGGCCTGCAACCTCCGGGGCCCAGGCAACAGTATCTGGCGCTGAATCTGGGAGTCCTCAAGTCGATGGGGGAGACGTGGCCCATTGCTGCCAGCGCGATGCAACGGATTCGTCAGGCTGTGATCGAGGTTCACACAGCAATCTCGTGCGACACTCGTCCTCTGCTGGACGTTTTTTCTCCCTCCACGTCAGATTGACTTCATAAAGACAGGCCATCTGGGCCCGGATCAAGCGCTCTTCATTTGCTCACCGATCCTTGGCGCAAATATTATTCTGTTGAGGGTTTCTTGTGGACATCGCCTGTAGCACCCCACGCTAGGAATCCTTTAAGACCGAGGCCAAGATTTGCCACCCGAAGCAAATTAATCTACTCTATGATGCTAGCAGAGAATCCCGGTCGCGGCAAGCATCCCACCGGCATGACAAATATGCTTACCTTGAGCCTCCAGATGGGGAAGGTGGGCCATTGGCCCACAAACTACTACTATGTTACGGAAGACCAATTGGCTGAGTCCTGAAGTCCGGCTCCACTTGCCCTCAGCTAGCGTCCTCGTATAACCCTCGGTGACCCATAGCGAGGGTCCGAAGTATGGCCCTGGCATCACGATAGCCATTCGTTTGACCTTTTCTTGACCATGAAGGTTCTGGTTGATGGTCAATTGAAATCATATCTGCGTGGTCGTCGGGAAGGATCGCAGGATTCGGCGAGGTTGCTTCCATCCAAAGACACGCTAGGAAAGCCTGAAAGTCCAGACTCGTGGCATGATGTTTAATCAACGTTTCGAAGAGGGTTTAAATAATGTCGTTGAAGGATGCAGCCATGCCTCCTAGGAACTCCAACCGCTTGTCCGTTACGCAAAATGAAGGTGCCGTTGGAACGCTTGGCTTTTACCTGGGGCCTCATGGCTGCCCTCGAGGCAGGCCTAACCTCAGCTCAGTCGGCCTCCAAACCGCCTAACTTTCTTTTCATCATGGCGGATGACCAGGATCTGAAACTGGACTCTCTATCGTATATGCCCTTGACTACCAAGCATATGCAAGACAAGGGAATGTCCTTCATGAATCACTTCGTGACCACGGCCTTGTGTTGCCCTTCGCGGGTCAGTCTTTTGACTGGACGGCAGGCCCACAACACCAATGTGACGGACGTACACCCCCCATGGGGTAGGTTGCTTTGCCCAAACTTGCTGCTCTGAGACTGACCCAAGACAGGTGGTTACCCTAAGTTCATCAGTCAGGGGTTCAATGACAATTACCTTCCCGTCTGGATGCAGCAGGCTGGGTACGACACGTACTACACTGGCAAGTTGATGAACGCACAATCCATCGAGAACTACAACAAGCCCCATGCCGCTGGGTTCAATGGCTCTGACTTCGTGCTGGACCCCTACACCTACGACTACATGAACGCCACGTATCAGCGCAACCACGACCTGCCTGTCAGTTACCTCGGCCGTCACACCACCGAGGTCCTAACTGAGAAGGCCATGGGCTTTTTGGAAGATGCTCTTGCCGGCGAACGTCCGTTCTTCCTGACCGTGACTCCGATCGCTCCTCACTCGAACATGAACGGGACCTACGGTGGGGGGGCCGGGCCGTTGTGGATGGATGAGCCCATTCCGGAAGAACGTCATAAGCATCTCTTCCCCGACGCTAAAGTTCCTCGTACGGCCAACTTCAATCCCAAGGAGGTAAGTCCTTTACAGTCTATATTCGCTATCTAGCGGAACCACGTCCTGACCGTCCTAGCCCACTGGTGTCAGCTGGATCCACCAACTTCCCTACCGCAACCAATCCGTCATTGATTACAACGACCACTACTACCGACAGCGACTGCGAGCCCTACAGGGTGTCGATGAACTAGTCGACTCCCTCATCACCCGCCTCGAGGCGAGTGCCCAGATCAACAACACCTACATCATCTACACGTCCGACAATGGATTCCACATCAGTCAGCACCGGCTGCCTCCGGGCAAAACCTGCGCGTTTGACGAGGACATTCGGGTGCCGTTCTTCATCCGTGGGCCGGGAATTCCAGAAGGCCAGGAGCAAGATATCGTCACCACCCATATCGACATTGCCCCAACGCTGTTTTCCTTGGCGAGCCTGCCGCTCCGTGACGATTTCGACGGGACCCCCATGCCTGTTGCCGAGGTCGAGGGAACGCTGCACGAGCATGTAGCGGTCGAGTACTGGGGCCAGGCAATGCTAGAGGGTGGTCTGTCCAATCTAGGTAAATTTTTCTGCGCACCGTCCGTCCCCGCCAATCCAGTGTCTCTACTGACGCCAACGAATGAGATACAGGCACACCCACCGTCCCCAACAACACCTACAAGGCTGTCCGCATCCTCAGCCAAGAGTACAACCTCTTTTACTCCGTCTGGTGTAATAATGAGCACGAGCTCTACGATTTGAGTGTATGTTAAATTGTCCTCAGCCCCACTAGACCCTGCGATTACTGAACCCAAATCCAGACCGACCCCTACCAAGTCAACAATCTCCACCCGCACGTCTCAACCACGAACGTGACACTCCTGGGTTTTGAGATTCCCGCGGTGATTGATCGCCTGGATGCTCTGTTGCTTGTACTGAAGTCGTGCCAGGGCAGGACTTGCATCAAGCCGTGGGAGGTTCTCCACCCGGACGGGTCGGTGAGCAACTTGCTTGAGGCTATGGATGCACGGTATGATGGGTTCTATCGCGGCCAGTGTAAGGTGTCGTTTGATCGCTGCGAGTATGCGTATATCATTGATGCGGAGGGGCCGCAGACGGCGCTGGCGTACAGGAATGGGTACTCTTTGGAGCAGTGGATTTAGACGGTTCGAGTGACGAGCAGCAGGTGGGAAAAAATTTAAGCTATGGGTACATTCTGATTTTGTTAAAGTCCAGGTGGTCGTGATGTTGGCTAGGAAAATTCGATGGACGATTTCCTGCCCTGCTGAATACATATCAAGCTTGACTTGTCGGTGCTCGGGTTGCAAATTGGTAATGGAGGGCCTAGAAAATTATCCGTCGGTACAGCTACTGAGAGGACAGTTGCCTGTACATACAAGTTGGGTCCTACTTTGAATCCGTGGCAGGATTCCATGGTTTTCCATAATTTATCCTCGGCAATTCAATTACCAACCCTGAAGCGGGAAAGTGGCGACTCCGGGAGATCCGGTGGGATGAAAAAGGGTGGATTTGTGGAGCCGGTGGGATGGATTTCCAGATTTCCATACAACCAATTCATCATCTCCTTCTATCTCCTTCACTCCCCCCCCCGTCCTGGAGAAAGAGGCAGAAAGGAAGATGACTCGATTCAAGTGCCGGATATCCGGATGCAACTCCAGCTTCCAGCGCAAAGAGCACCGCACCCGCCATGAAGGGCAGCATACGGGGGCCTTGACGCGGGCCTGTCCCTTTTGCGCCCGGTCATTCTCCAGAGGGTATGGATGGGGATGGTAGTGTTTAGTACCACAGAAAGAGACACTAATAATGTTCAGTGACTCCCTCCGTCGTCACATTCGTCTGGACCACCACGATTCACAAGCAACCTCAACCACCACATCGACTCGAACGGCCAAAGCCTGCCTGGGCTGCCGCCAGGCCAAGACCCGCTGCGGCGGGGGCAACCCTTGCAATCGCTGTCGCGCTCAGCCCCAACCCTGTCTCTACGATCAACCTCAAAAACCACCACAACCACCACAACCAGCCGTCCAGTCCCTTTCGCCCCAATCACCCCCCAGCGAGGATGATTCTACCTCCCGATTCACCCCCTACGTCCACCTCTACTTCACCCACTTCCACCCCCACTGGCCCATCCTGCATCGTGCCACCTTTAGTCCCCCCGACGAGCCCCTCCTGCTCCTACAGGTGGTCTCCATGATCGGCCTATGGGTCAGCGACACTCCCTCGTCTCGTGAAGCGGCGATCAGTCTCCATCGCAAACTGGGATCTTCAATCCTAGCTCAGCAGGTACTGTATCCTCCCTGCTGGCCGCCCAACCTCCTATCCGCGCAGTAAAAGCTAACCACGGAACACCAGGACAACTGGGCACGCTCCATCTCCTTCACTACAGAACTTTCTGACAGCGATACCAATCTATCAGCGCAAGAGATCGTCTCGCGATGTCCCGTAGCCACCTACCAGGCCATCCTCTTATATCTCATATTCTCGCTGGTGCTTACCCGCACTGGCCACGGCACCAGCGATAGTCGCACCAACCTTTCGCGAGCAGTAGATCTAAACCTCCCCTTCTCCCCCCAAGACACCCATATCCTCTCCGTCCTCGTCACCACCTGCCTCCGCAACCACGTCTTCTACTACCCGCTGATGCTGGAGCGGTACCATCAGACCATCGACTCAGTCGCCTGTATCTGGGTGGGGGTCGAGGAGCTGAAACGCCTGGGCTTGGCCATGTACAAGGTCTGTCGGCTGAGTGGGCACGGGGCTCGAATAGTGGAAGGCCACGCGCTGGCGATGGGCCACGATGAACAAGAACAGCGGGGCGTCTTGCGTCTTGCGGATCTGCAGTTTCCGCCGCCCGATAGTCGGCATCTGTGGGAGGCGCAGTCAAATCCAGAGCTGGCGCGGTTGTTGCAGATCGAGGCGCGCACTCGCGGGGGTGCGGCGTCGCGGTTGGATGGTCGCGAGGAAGGGAATTGGATTTCGGCGTGTGGGAGGGTTTTGGAGGATGGGAGGGATACCTGGTGGTTGTGATTGGGTTCGTAATGAGATATTCAAAAATGGGTGTTTCTATGATCATTGTCTGCAACATGATCGTATGGAGACGATGTAGTGAAACAAACGATATCCATCCCCGTGTAATGAAACAGAATCTATACCAAGATCTATACAAACAGCACTCGAGAATCTACTTTCCCGATATCTATGTCAAATGGCAGCCTTTCCCACCCCCTTCCGAGTTAATCACCAGACCACCCCCTAAATGACGGCCCTCTCCACACCAGGAGTCAACCAGCACACCTTGCCGTCAATCTTCTCCTCCGCAAACACCTGCCGCAGCTCCTCCTGATGCTGCGTAAAGTGCTCCCAGGACTCGAAATGGATAGGCACCATCACATCCGCCCCCGTCACGCGCATCAGATGGGCCGCCTGCTTCCCATCAAAGGTGATCTGCAGCATCCCCTTTGGGGTGGGAAAGAGGGCATTGCCCAAGTTCACCACCGCCACCGCCACATGCCACCTCTTACGGATCTCCGCCAGCTCGTCGATCCAGACCGTATCCCCGGAGAAATACACCACATTGGGGAGGCCGTCATCACTCACGCCGAACGAGTCGCCCTCAACGATGAACCCGGTGACCTCGCCGCCGGGGAAATGCTGGCAGGGCGTGCCGGTGATGCGGAAGCGCCTGCCGCCGAGGACGGCCTCGACCGTCTGCCAGGGCTGCAGGCCGACCACGCCGGGCCGCGGGGCCAGGTTGCGGGCGCCGTCCGGGGTCGTGAAGACGTGGCGGCCGTCGAGGAGCTGCCGGCCCAGCGGGTCGAGGTTGTCGACGTGGTCCTCGTGGCTGAGCAGGATGGCGTCGATGGGCGGCAGCTCGTGCAGCTGCAGCGCCGGGCCGGCCTGGCTGCGCAGCTTCACGGGCGGTGGGGGCTGCGCGTAGCCCCAGGCGGCCCAGTCGGCTTTGGCCCAGGCGTCGTAGTCGTACTCCGATTCGGCGGGGCAGAAGACCGGGTCGGTCAGGAAGCGCACGCCGTCGATGGTGATGATCGCGGTCGCGGTGGTGATGTGCGTCACGGAGACGGATCCTTGGAAGGCGGGCATTTTGACGTTTCTTCTCGTGACTAGGGCTATTTTTGATTTTTTTTTTCTTGTGGCAAGAAAAGATACTCAAAATGGGACTTGCAGTAAGATGGATGAAGAATGAGGAGCTGTCAGTTGAAGTGGTGATGTTGCGCCCTTATATAGCGTATCTTGCTGCGGATTCCTCTCCTAATTTCATTTTGATCCTCCCACCGGAATAGTGTCATTGCCACCCACCCACCTTACTCATCATGATTAGATCAACGCAGTTATTCGTTCCATATGATAAATCCTTACAAAAGGGGTTCAATGGCTCACGATGGCACCATCTGTTAGTTTTAGATTATTCCGCATAGATTCCAGAAGCTTAGATGGTTGTCATACGGTATCCCACAGAACCCACCATCCCACAATCGTACCGCAGCCCCGCAGAGTTTGCGGTATGTTGTGGGATGTGTGAGTTCCGAAGGCTCCAAATAGTCTTTTGCCCGCGACTGACGTTGGAGAGATTCTCGGGCCCTGCTGACGTGGTTAGCAAGACTGCCTCGGCGATTTGTGTGAGGGTGTCCTGGATTATTGTTCACCATTCGGGGGTTCTCTCGGTTGGCCTCATCCTTGCCCTACTTATACATATTTGGCCTTGATATACTAGTATTATATCCGCAGGTAATCTGTTATATTACTAAATCAATATTTAAAATAGATCTTTTTTTAGTTAATTTAGCTATATCAGTATAGCTAAGGCTATCGGACAGAATAGAAAATACTAATAAATTTTGGAAATAATAAATATAGGTACTGGAAATACTGTATAATTAAAGCAACCAGTTTACAAAGTTATAGAATAGGTATGAAATAAAATAGAATAAGTAATAGAATAGAAAATAGCTGCAGAGCTGATGAATTTCATTTCTATAAAAGTATATATAGATATTGATTATTAGAAAGTTATAGATTATATTGGATATGTTTTTAGATTTAACTACCCTTGCAGCTGTGCTGTAATAGGCGAGCTGAGGTTTTTTACAAGACTCCTTAGGTCATAGAATATTCATTGGATTGAATTGAATTAAAGGCTCCCTTGGTTGGAGGATACCTCACATGGTCTTTGATCATCTTTCTTGAGACGTATTGTTCTTGTTATGTCTCAAGCTTGAAACACCCGAGATGTAGGATAGGAGGTGGGCTGTATGGCTTGTGGTCCCATTCTGAGTCCCCCAGACCTCCCGGCAGTTTCGGAAATAACATGGATAGAGTAGTCTTGTGGTCAGCTTTCCCCAAGGCCAAGGGACCAAGATGGACGGCGGTGATACCAGCTCTCAGCCAAGACGAAAGGTGTGGAAGCTATATCCGGAACATATTTAAGCTAGGGCTGAACCAACATCGTACCGGCCCACTCGAAGATAATGGCTCAATGGGTGAGCTGACAGCAGGACATGTCCGGTTCTTGTTATAGGAACTACCCTTAGGGCTTGGCTGTCTCTTGGAGACGTTTCGATGCCTTGAACATATTCACCATGGGTAAAAGTTCACACACTTTGAGAGGGTAAAACCAGAAAGTGTACGTTGTGCCAGTACTCTATCACGAAGTAGTAGGCCTGACATCTCTCCCAAGATACAGGTCCGAAACATCACTTTTGGTGGGGAGGTGTCATATCTTGTCGATACGGATGAGAAGCGATAGAGGAGCTGTACTACGTGGGTAGTCCAAGTCCAATTGTTGAATTAAGCGACCTGTGGAGAGATAGCTGAATTGCGCGACTCTCATTTTCCCACTTGAGAGATGAGAGTGAACATACTCCCGGAAGTTAGATGGGACGAATCTTGAGAAGGACGGGTGTGCCATCCTTCGCGGTCAGAGAGGCAGGGAATCGAACCTATCTGAAGTAGGCTCATCTGGCCGGTAGAGATTCTTCTAAATCTGTCAGGCCTAGCTGATCGTGCTGCTGATCACCCGTCACGGCCCATATTAATCAATAGTTCTACCTATATAGCCTCATATAGCTGAGTTTATAGCACATCCACATCACCAACACTAGGGTATCCAGCTTACTAGCACAAGTGTCCTCATCGCCTGTCGACTGCTATCAGCGAGAATGCCACACGGACACTTCATGTGTAATTTTAGTAGCTTTAGAAAGACTATTCACTGCCCCTCCTTTGCAAACGCCCTCACGGACACGTGACCTGTAAACACTGTGTCTGAGCTGGATGATGGATGTCCTTCCTTTCAAACTAGCCCAGAGGATTGTTTGCTTTTCATTTCCCGGACATTCCCTACCATGTCGTGTTCGTAAGCCTAGCGCCAACATAGCTTTATCTTGCTTGTCTTTGAGTAAGTTCTCCCCTCTCACCTCTTTCAACCCTGCTCTATCATCACTTTACTATCTCTGTATCCATCTCAACGTTTGATCTCCTTTTTGCATCTTCTCAGCTGCTTTTGAAGGTATTTTCACTCATCAATGACCGTATTCAGTCAGCCTTCCCCAGCAATCTGTGTCCCACCTTACCTGCCTCTTGATACATCATCCTCTCCATCATCGCTCTTCTAACTATTCATCCTGCTACATCTCTGGCTTCCAACTTCAGACTGACTATCGTGTATCCGAGATCAGTCCCCAGCCAGCCTTTTCTCTGTAACGAAGAAAGCGTGACTATACCCATCGAAATCCACTGCAACAGGCACACTATGACTTCTCTCACATCGATCTGCGCAAACTGGACTCCCAAAAACTCAGAATGCAAGAAGGAAGGTGGGGCAACCTGCAAGGGATGCTTCCTGATTACTGTTAGTGACCCCAATATGACTACTTTATTTGCGAACGTGTACTGACATGCACCTCGACCTTACAGTACTGCAGTAAAACATGTCAAGTGGCCCACTGGTCTGAGCATCGGAAGGACTGTAAGTCCATCCTGAACAAGGAAACATGGCAGCCAGCGTGGGTTCTTGAAAGAAGATTCCCTGTGCTCACGCAAGGCGGCCTTGAGATGTTTGGAAGAAGGAAGTACCTTTGGGGCACCGATGCTGCAATCGACATCTTGAAGCTGGCCTCCAATGAAGGGGAAAGCAATGCTGTCGACCTTCGTCTTTTGTTCGCTGGTACGTATCAAATTCTGCCTAGCCTCCTAGCCTGTGCGTGACTAACAAACTGTGTCGATAGCCTCAGGAGACCTCCGCAACGTCATCAAAACCGTCGCTGACCTACCTTCCACCTATACTGGTTCTCTGGATATTACAATCAATGACCGAGACGAAGATGTCGTGATCCGTAACGCGATATTACTCTTCGTTACGCTTGTTGTCGATAATCCCAATGAAGCTATCGACTGCATCATTCACCTCTGGTACTCAGCACTTGTGCGGGAATCCGACATTCGAGTCCTGTCGGATCGAATTCGGCCCCTCATCCAGGATGTCTGTAACACCAGGATCGATCATGGGCCATCGGTACCCCTTTCAAAAACCTGGAAATTTGGGCCTTCCTCCCTGAGCATAACCCTCGCACGCGCAGTCTGGTCTCGCCTCCTGTCCTATTGCAACATCCCATCTGACTTGACAGCCGCGAGTGCTCAGAAGATCCGCACAGAACAAGTTTTCGGTGCTTCAGAGAAGGACCTTCACGAGGAGCATATGATCTTTCTTTCTCCACGCCAGCGGCTTGCATACTATAAATTTCGACAAGACGGCCTTCTACTTCCATTTGGCCACCCTCGCGACGATTTTGTGCAGCCAAACCCGTAGGTCCACACATTCACAAACTGTATACAGGCAAATTGATGCTGATACGAGACCAGGACGTTGTTCCAGTATAAAGGAATCTGGTCTCTCATGGTTCGCGCGAATCCGCTGCGTGGATGGTCGCTCAAAGACGTTCTGGAGACACCCAGCGGGCCCGCCACGGCGGATCTCTACGGCAAGCTGTTCTGCTACCTCCGGAAAACGCTGAACCTTTTTGTCGAGCGACTGTCCAGCACAAGGATTGCCTTTCAATTCCATCATACTACTGCGTCTTATCTTGTAGAGGGCCTCGCTGAGGGTTCCTTTGACCGAATTGAAGTAAGTATACTGACCTAGAAGCAAACAGACCCCCCCCCCCCCCCCCCAACCAACAGCCCCACTCCTCACGAGTAAAATGATTCATATATCAGGTACTAAGTATTCTCTCCTCAGCTCTCGAATCTTGCGGATAACAACTACATGGGCGCCTATCATACCCTCTCCACCATGGTCCCCTTGCTTCGGACTCCGCAGCAGAATCCACACGCCACTCTTATCACTCTGTTCACAACCGCCATCAGCGACGTCGCGACCCTCGAGGAGGGCATCTCATTGATGTTCGCTGATTCCGAGACCAAACAACTCTTTGACAGATATAGCCCGGGGACGGGACCACGGTCTACTTTTGATGCCGCATCCCTCAAAGAGGCCTCCGCTCTCCTGCTGTTCGCGCCAGTTGACAGACTCTTCGATCGGTGAGTACGCTGAACACATAAAGATGCACGCATCCCAGTACTGTGGGCAAGAGCGATCCTTAACCATTCTTCATAGGTATCTGAAGACATTTGCTGTTATGGATGTGGCCAGCCGGGTCGGCGCGATCATTAAGGAACCACACAGCATCGTCGCGAAATGGCCTTACCGGATGCGATTGCGGCCTGATCAGGAGGGCGCGCTGCAGGAGCTGGAGCTTTGTCTGCGGGAGATCCGATCGAGCAGGGAGCGGTACGTGGAGTGGAAGCGATCGGTCTAGGGCTTGCTTTGGCCATGCTGTGGTGCTTGCGGTGGATTATTGGCAGGTTGGCTGTTTGATGCGTCGAGATGGATGAGCTTTGCCAGGAACTTATGCTTGGGAATAGATTGTATTGCCTGGGTTGCTAATGAGGGGACTTCGGGTTCTTCGTTGTCCTGGGCTAGATTTCGGGATATAGCTTCTCGTGGCTAAGTGAGGCACTCATACTAGTTTAACATTCTGCTCCATTAGAAGATTGAGGTGCCATCCCGGAGCCATGCAGCGAATACTGCGGCTGAGTCTATGTTCTGTAGTTGGTGTCGTCCTTGTTCTCACTGTGTCAGATCAAGAAGAACTTGTTACAAATGCCATGCCTTAACGTAGACCCTCGAGTGAACTGGATAGTACTGATCAAACCATATATAAAGCCCCTACACCTTTCCGCTAGCGCAGTAGCCTTCCTCTTCCGCTCCACGCAGAGTCCCTGCACATACAAGCTAATATCATACCCATTCCCTGCCAGATACTCACCTCGGTGCCAATCGAGCCGCCCGCCTTCCCCACCGCGGCGGCCAGACCCAGGAAGTGCCCGCGCAGCGGAGTGGGGAATGACTCCGCCGCACAGAGGAAGGTGGAAATCCCCGGGCCCATCTCGCCCAATACGTTGAAGATCCCGTACATCATGACGAAAAGGGGTAAGATGGACTGAACTGGCTGCAAGGTACCTCCGAGGATAAATCCCCAGATGGCCCATAAGACAAAGCCCAGGGTCATGGTTTGTTTGCGGCCGATGCGGTACATCAGCAGACCTCCGATCAGGCAGCCTGGAAGATAGAATAGGTTGATTATCGCCTGAGAAGTAGGAGTTAGGGGAGGTATCCGACAATCTAGTGGTTCTGGTTGGAGTTTCACCTACCCCACCAATGTTTTCAATGTTTGAGTTGTTTGGGCTGAGTTGCGAGATTATTGTGGAGGAAAATATTCCAAATGGATACGTGAAAAAATCTTTAACAGAGCCAGGCCAGGGCTGTATGCTCTATGCGTGAACGATGGGGTCTGTAGCGAATTTGTATTTGGAGTAGGTAAGTACTCACATGTCCCGAGCATTGGCTTCCAGTATCGCTTCAGTACGAACCAGTACGGGTAATGGGATCACATAGCATTCTTCTGATACTGTTGGGATTGATCATACACACCCGAGCCAAGCAAATCCCCACAGGATTCTGAATCGCAGATTAGTACACTCTCTGTTATACGTTAATAGCCCCACAGAGAACATACGATGAGACCCAAACCAAAGCAGACTCGCCATACACCAGCATGAACCTCCTGATAAAAGCAGAGAAGAACAATCACAGCTATGGCTCCTGCTACGACGAATCCCTAGGTGATCACATATCCTAAATATGCAGACTGATGTTCCATATCAAGATGGATAGTTCTTTCGCTTCGCACTCACATGATCAACCGCAAGGTCCGTCGTCGAGGCCACCGGAAACCCTCTCTTCCTGCGCAGATAGACCGTCTCGTCGGCTGCCTCGGTTGCATTCGTGGTACAGACAGGATATTCACATCCTGCGCCAAAGCCAGCCACGCCCCGGGCCACGACCATCATCCAAAACATTCTATCGCAACCGTTGATGAACAGTATTCCCTTCTGGTTGAACAATAATCCATATATTTACTTACTCAGTCTCTGTTCTCTCATGCACAGCAGTAGCTAGGATGATGCCCAGAACGAGGAATACCGTTGTCGCCACCACACCGGTTCGTCGGCCTAATCTGTCGACGAGAGCACCGAAGAAGAGCATCCAAAGTTTTCGCGGATAAGAGAGGAATCGGACAATCGCGTTGTCATCTGGGAAGATATGCCATTTTTATATCTAGTGATGTATGAGCCAAGTCAAATTTACATGCAATCACAGCATCTCATCACAATACGCATACAGGCTGGAGAAGAATGGTTCCATACAGCCAACTGTTCAACGAAGAACATCTGATCAGTGGGACACGAGAAATATTCAATATGCACACAACTTACTCAGCTTTGCTCTCACGAAGAAAATGTGTATCTTTTGATCCGCAGGGTTTTAAATCATCCCAAGACATAAACTCTCCAGCGATGGACTCAGGAGGTCCATGATCTGCCACGAACGCCCGAGGCGACTTACATGTCCTATGAAGGAGGCCCACATCACCCAGCTTGAAAGGTACAACAAAAGACTTGCTGATAGTCAACGGTAGGAGATTAACACGAAGGGCCAAAGAGTGCTCTGCCGCACCGAGAACTACGCCAACAGTCATGCGGGGTTCAACTGGCTCCTGCGAGGGGCGTGCGTGGCAAGCGTCTTTCGGCAGTTGACTAGTGAACCCATGCTTTTGTTCAAAGAGAAGATCAATTACAAACTGGCTGGCAGTGGTGAGTTCTTCCTTTGCCCCGTCGAACAGGGTTATCGGGACTGGACCGCTGACCATTCCTCTGGGAGACGACCGATGCATTGCGCCGGAACGGGTCCACAGTCGACAATGGACTCCTTGTGATCTACAGCCGGGTACAGTGCCCCCGGCTCTGCGCGTATCACCTTCAACAGAAGTCGTGACTAATATTTGTTGTACATGCAGGTGAAATCCTTGTTTTTGGGTCATATCTTGCCCACAAGAGCGGTGCGAACACCAGCCCCATGGATCGCCGGGCAATCTATGCAACTTTCAACCGCGAGGCTGAAGGAGACCTGCACGACGAGTACTATGAGGATCGGCGGAAATTGTGGCCTGCCACGCCCATGCGACAGGAAGGTACAGACTACGAGGATGGAGACTTCAGTATGGGTACGGTTCTCCATAAAACTTGGGGAATTCATTCAGGATAAATGTGTTATCTTGTCAGCGTGAGAACCCCAATAGAAGGGACAAAGAAAAGCCTGATCTCAGTCTAACATTAGAAACGGTTGCACGGAACGTAGAGTCTAATAGATCCTTACCACTTGGCCTCTGGTTCCGTTCTTGATTCTTCTTCATTGCCTGCAGCAGTATTGCCGCGACTATAGGTATTTAGTGGGTACCGCTACCGTAGCCCCATATCGTAGGCTGCGGCCGGCGACTCACCTCGAACCCAGTATTTGAGACTACACTTCGAAATCAGCACTACAAACTGCGTGGGCAGAGCCAGAGGGGCCACCGCTCATTCATGTATTATTCCCATTCTGGGGAGTCCTGCTGAGATTCCATCAGGCTGCTTCTCTTTCTTTCCGGCTGCCATATCCCCACATCTTAAACTAGAACCCCTCCCACTGTGCTAAAAATGTCTAGCGCGCGACTGGTTACAAGATTAGGGCTTTCGGGCTCTTATCATCAAGATTAAGCTAGGGAAAATATATCCCTAACCAATCAAACCCCCAGCTCCCGTCGACTCTCACGCAAGCTATGTTTTAGCGCCGAGAGCCTGGTTGGCTATCATGTCGGTGGGTGTTGGTGATGTTCTTGGCTGTCAGCGACTCAGCCTTGCTGCGGACCCTGACCGAGAAAAAAAAAAGCCCGCGCCCCGCTGAGAAGGATGCCTCGCCTTTACTCATCTTGAGATACTTCGATAAGTCTTCCTCTTGAGTTTCTATTGAATCTATACCACATAACATGCCGATATCAGATCGCTCATCGCCCTCTTCACGGGCGAGCAGCATCCACAGCATCCACAGCATCCATAGTCAAGCCCAGTACGAACCCCTGGAGCTTGTGTCCCGGGCCCCCTCATCAGAAGAGCATGATCCCCATTCCCGGCAATCCCACGATGGCAACAAGATCGACCTTGTGACTGAGGGTGAGATAATGATTCCTCCAGATGAAGCCAACGGCCCTGAGAAGAAAAGGTCGACCTGGACGGTGATACAGGAGTGGTACGTCTTAGAGCTGGCGAGCATGCTCGTCGCAGCGGGATGCGTGGTCGCGACGGTGATCGTCCTCCGGCGCTACGACCGCCGCCCGCAGCCCGCGTGGCGGTACATGTCGCTCAACGCCCTCATCTCCTGGCTCAGCACCATCTCCAAGGCGTGTATCCTGTTTGCCGTGAGCGAGGCGCTAGGCCAGCTAAAATGGGTGTGGTTCGCGCAGGGCCGCCGGCGGCCTCTACCGAATCTGCAGACGTTTGACTCAGCCAGTCGCGGGCTGTACGGCAGCGCGCAGTTGATTTGGATGCTTAGGGGACGGTGAGTTGCGTTGTAGATTCTTCTTCACTGCATAAGAAATGCGAACTAATTCCGAAGTAGGCATTTTGCTATTTGGGGAAGTTTGGCGGTGATTCTCGCCTTGGCGTATGACCCATCGGTCCAGAACCTGATCCACTACTACTCGGATCTGATGGAAGATGCTCATCAGCAGGCGTGGGTAGCGAATACCTCGACGTACGCTTCGTATGGAAGCGGGATGCTGGGAAGTGGTACGTTGCTCAGCAAACCCCAACACAGAAAGATTGCTGAGATATGAATCAACAGATCCGTGGGTGGACCCCGTCCTCAAGGGAAACGTCTACAATGCACTCTTCAACCTGGACGACACTCGCCCGTGGGCCACGCCGCATTATGTCTGCAGCTCGGGGAACTGCACGTGGAGCCCCGTGGCGGCGCTAGGGGCGCGAGCACTGTGCTCCGACGTGACGCAGCACCTGGAGACCAAGAATGCCTCGGTGGAGACTGGAGGCGGGCTGAAGAACACGGTGTTCCTCCCCAACTCCACCGTCACGGTGTGGTTCAACGCCTCGTACGTCGGAGACCAGGTCTACATGGCCATGGGCACGGTCGACCCGCGGCTCGCCCGCGTCTACACCAACGCCACCTACCCGCCGATCCAGTTCATCGCCCCGCGCGGCTACAACAGCAGTAGCGGCGACCGCTACCCGCGGCTAACGTCGATGTCTCAATTTCAGGCCACGGAGTGCAGTCTCGAGCCCACCGTGTATAGCTTCAATGCCAGTGTCCAGAGTAACGTGTATCGCGAAGAAATCCTCGCGGCGTGGTCCAGAGACATGAGAGCGCAGTCAACGAAGAGGGGTGTGATGCCCCCGTTCAAGGGCTCCCCGCCCGGCTGGGGTACTGCTGAAGGCATAATGCAGCCCAACCAGACCTTTCTCATCACCGACACCGCCAGCAGCGGTCTGGGCACCTTCCTCCAGTACCTCTTCGCGGGATCCTATCGCGTGACGGGCTCCAAGACCCGGCTGCAGGTCGACCAGGGCACCGCCTACGCCACCGCCGATACCATCCAGGCCCTCATGAGCGGCAACATGACCGGCTGCTCCATGCAGACGGCCGAAAAATTCGCCTGCGCGATGCACAACGTCGCCGCCGCTGTGACCAAGTCCTTCCGCGACGCCGCGTACATCGCTGTGGACTCGGATGTCGCGGCAGCTAACATGACAGCAGGCCATGGCTGGGTCAACCAGACGTACGTCCAGGTGCATTGGCAGTGGGCCACGCTGCCGGTCGTGGTATGGGTGCTCGGGTTGCTGACGCTGCTGGGCGCGGGGTGGAAGGCGCGTCGGAGTGAGGTGCCCAGCTGGCGCAATAGTCCCATGCCGTTGTTGTTTTTGTATCGGGAGGACAAGTGGGAGGGGGAAAGCACAGTTGAGGAACCGTTTCCTCGAAGAGAGGATGTGAGAGTGATGTTGTGCAAAGATAATGGTCGCTTTGTGTTGGCGTGATTGCGGCTTGCCGCGCCGAGATATAGATACGACAAGGGCTATCTTGATGGTTTGGTGCGTATAAGCAAAGAACATAAGTTTGCTCGTGATCTGTACGACCATATTTGAACCACAAATGTAAGGGAAACATGCTCATTGCAGTTGTACTGGAGTGGGTGTACTGGCAAATTTTGTGGTTGTGGGGAGGGTGTGAATGCGGCGAATTTGTTGATCGTACTGTGCGCAATTTGTCCATGGAATGGGAGGAAACGCAACCGTCGAACTTGGACCTGCTTTCTGCTTCTAGAATTCACGAGATAATCCAACAAAACTACACAGTCTTATGGCCTGGAAATAAACTTGGTCCTTCATTTATTGAGGGTAGTCCTTCAGGATAACGTGGGTTGAGGATATTCATCTGAAGAAAGATAGGCGACCGACTTGCATATGAGAAAGATATAGCAGACTAAAGATAGAATATCGCTATGCAGTGGCGGGCGACACACTTCTATACCCATGCTAAGATCCGACCTCGTCCCCATCAACGTACAGCAGGTTTTTATGCGGGTTGTAGTACTACGATACAGAGACGCCGGATTCTCTGATGTGTGGATCTTAGGCTCTATTATATAGCATATTAACGCACAAAGATCACGTGAAAAGGGGCAATGGCGCATCTGGGAGCGCGTCAGACTGAAGATCTGGAGGTGGCCGGTTCAAGCCCGGCTTGCCCCACTTTCCTCTTTTTTTGTTCCTCCATCTCTCGGTCCCGTCGTAAGTGTGAGTGATATAAGAGTGATGGAGTAGCCTATAGCGAACGATCATCATGTGTCATAAATTCATTGGGCTACTGTTGAGCTCTCATCTATGAATAGCTGCGAAAGCCGTAACGAAAACTTATGAAACGAGCTAATTATCATCGAGCAAAGTCTGACTGAAACTACTACCACCCCTGAGCTTGACGGATTGAGAGCCATGCTCTGAAAGGTCCGACTGTCCGACTCCAGTAGTTTTACAACTTTCAATTTGCACCAATCAGGAAAGTCTCAAAGTGGTACATGATGTTCTTCAACCCAAACGACCATCCAGTGGAGGGGTATTGCGTATTGACTGAGATCGAACTTGCTCAAATTGCTGAAGAGTACGATCCGCGCGCAGAGTTGCTCCGGGTTGTCGCAAGAAGTTCCTCAAATTATCAGGATCTGCCCAGCATAAGAAAGGTAGAGGTCCTGCTGTGAGCGCTTTGGTGTCAATCCAGTATTCGATGTTTTCCATCCGGATATAATCTTTATTTGGCATCTACCTATCGCCAGTCTTGAAGCCTTGTCCATAGTCCCATCGATGCTCATAGGGCTTGTCGAGGTGCTCTGGGTTCCAAAAGCGGACAATTGAGGTTGAAGGCTGTTGGAGAAGCATCCGCCGCCAACCTGCCTCAGGGCGCAAATACGCTTCTTCTCTCTTCTGACGCGATATGAGGATAATTCCGCCAGCCACAAATATCCCCGCCCAGTCTATAACGCGAGTCAAGAGTCGTCTAAGTGAATTCGGACCAGATCTTTTCCACGACGAGAGGGATTCTCCTGGATTCTTGTTGCGGTTCGACAGGAATGTAGAACAGGGCCTGTTGGATCTTGCGCGAGTTCGTGATTAGATCTTTCCATGTGGAACAGACTCGAGTCGAAATCAACAATGTATGCATATCCAAGTTCAGGTGGATTACTTGGAGGAGTTCGGGGATAAGAATATCACAGATGGGTCCGAGGAGCAGCGGGGCTCATTTTTGTGGCTCTTTATAACTGTTCTGACAGGAGCCATCGTGGACAAAAGTTGTCTCAGTCGAGACTAAGAAGAAGGAATATGAGACTAATGTGACCTTGCAACGTCGGCGATTTGTGACCGGAATATTAACAAAAGATTTATTTTGTTCTATTGTCGTATCAATGGAAACTCAGAAGCATCGCGTCCTTGTTTTGTCACCATTTTCAGGGCGGTAGAGATCAATGTCGAAGGCTGGCGCAAGATGACCTCGGGGGCTAGGAGAATGACGGCAGTTGCCCATCACATCGTAGCCCACCGGACAGACATGTCGCCTTGTCAGTCATAGGGTACACAAGTGAAAAGGCCTGCAGCCATAGAAACAGACTGAGGTTCACCACTTATCCAGCCCCTGCCTCCCACATCCTGTTCGAACAATGAGGCTTTCCAAACTTTTGTAAAGGGGCAGTAATGATGGAAACGGGAAATCGATTGATGTTTCCAAACATACAGCAGGGCAGAGCTGGAGATACACAGCTCCACGATTACAAGTAGTGAGTTAGTACAGAACTTTACACACAATAGTCAGTTCAGGACAATCTATAGAAGGGCAAACAGCAAGCCTGGGAAGGCCCGTGACGGGTAAAGAATTCTGACGGGGTGTTGGTTTCCAGGCGGCCCGCAAACGGGCCCGGGGCCAAATAGAAAACATGAGTTCAAGTACTGCCTAGACACAAGGGTCTTCTCGGACAGAAGCAATCAAATAGAATCATTTTGATGGAGTGACTGATAGACCGATCAATCAGGGCCTCCGTATTGTGGAGCTTAAAAATTATGACTCTAAAGCTCGATTGATGGTCTACACGCTGCCAGGTCCATGCACTTTCGGAGCATATATATATTTGCCAGTTTATGTCTTGCTGGGGCCATGTGCTTCTCATCTTCTCAGCCGCATTAATTATCAGAGTTTTGGCTGTTGCCCACGCTGCTATTGGCGATATGATACAGTGGTACAATTCTCAGGGCATGTTTCCATGAAGACTTACTAGGTATTGTAGCACTATCAGTAAAGGGAAATTGAAACTATGGAGTAGATTGCAAAACTTTCTAATACACAGGATATAAGCTATAATGTATAGATGCTTAGCACATACGACCACAGGGTGTGGAAAACAGGGCTTCCCGTCCGCTCAGCCGTACTTAAGCCACACGCCGGGAGGTTAGTAGTTGGGTGGGTGACCACCAGCGAATCCCTTCTGTTGTATGTTTTTATACCCTTTATTATCTTGGTCTTTTGTTCTTTGGTCTCTTTTTTTTTTTGTTTCCGCCCTATGTCTTTATCCCTCTAAGTCGCCTTATCCCACCCAAGTAGACCAACTGAAATTGGAAAAAGGATAGATTGCAGCATCGGGGTCTACAAACGCTTCATATGCATTCGTATCCTCATTTCGCCTGTATTCTCGCACGGTCGGAAGCCGGCTCCTCGGCAGCATCAGACCTGAGTCCATTCCCACCTACTAATCGGATGCTCGCCTGTTCACTCCGGAGGTATATGCCGCGACTGGCTGGACGCAAGATGATCTCCCGCAGCCGATTCAAGATGATAAACTCAATCTTGAGCTTGACACCATAGACACACGGCTTCAATGCCCCCTGCAAGTAGAACATATTGGCGCACTGGATTCCAAACAGTGTGAAGTCCAGCACGATGATCAGTATATTGGCGTAGATCAGCTGCCGCAGCACCTGAGCCTGCTCTCGAAAGTTCTCCTGGTTAGGGTCGGCGCTGTAAAGGTCAGAACCCGGTCGTGTACTATACGATGCCCAAGCGCGTTCGCGCAGCGGCGCGCGGCCGCGCAGGAACTTGCGCGTTTGTAAGATGTATAGGATACTGAGGGTGGTTTCTTGGATCAGGAAGACGGCAAGCTGCACACGGTCCCAGATGAGGTTGGCGGAGGAGAGCGCGCGGTTGATACTCGTGGCTTGCTATGGAAGAATGGATGGTGTGAGTAGCCCGTTTGCCTCGCCTGCCATCCCTTCATATTACGTGTGACTTAGAACTCTTACAGCCATAACACCGATCGCGATGGTCGGTATCGAGAACGCGACCGAGTTGGAAAGGAGAATCAATTTGATCGTCCTGAGCATGGTTGCGTTGCGCACCAGCAAATGGAGTCGTGAGTACAGGATCCAACTTTGCGGAACGACCATGATCAGCCAGGTGAGGTAGATCATGGTGATGGAGGGGATGGAATCCGTCCAGACGTGGAAGTCGGCGAGGATGATAAAAAGTGGTTGGAGGATGATCGCCCATGAAACGAGTGCGCAGGACCAGAAGTATAGCCCTCGGCGGCGCTTGAAGGTCAGGAATAAGGACGCGGTGACCTCCAGCCCGAGCCACCAGGAGATTCCCGTAAATGCGGCCATGGTCATAGACATAGGCAGATCTTGCCTGACGTCTTTCATGCTGAGAGACCGTTGGGTCTAGATCTTTAGCTCTCGCTAGCTGTGTCAAGCTTTTGCGACTTGACTTGTGTCGCAGAGTTCCGAGGTGCTTGAGGATGTGGGCAACATGGGTGTAGAGATTATAAGTCCGTTATTGTTTGGACCATAGTGAGAAGTCTCTCAAAGGATATGTTTGCTACTTTGGAGACATGCTGTGTAACGGACTCGAACACGCCGAATGCTTCCTGCTACTGGCCTGATGTTGCATAGACGACAACCAGGCGGCCGAATAAGGATGCTCGATGTCCCAACCACAAGCTACACACACCATAAAGAACTCGCCTCTCCATGACAAACAACTAGGGGACAGATCTGGAGATGTACCTGGACAGGCACTAAAGATCAGTAGCTGAAATGCCCTTGACTAAATCCCTTCTGTAACTATCCCTTCTCTTGGTGGCGCTGACATCCCAGCGATCAGTCCAGGTTTGATGCATTCGAGATTAAAAAGTCAGCGGGATCCCTGAACAGGAAGGAGACGGAGCGTGGTACAGTAAGCAATGCGGAACTGCAAGGATTCGAGTGCGAGTGAATGATAGTAGTCAGTGAACGGCGTTCTTTCTTTGTTAGATATACCGTCAGGATTAGAATCGAACCACAACAACAAACACGTATACCCCCTTTTCAAGATTCAAGAAGACCGCTATACGCTACCTAGCTGATCATGTCCATCTAATCCTACCTTCCCATCTGCTCTCCAAAGACAGTAAGCCCCAGCTTCATCAAAACAGAAACTCGCAAAACGCAAAATCCGACTAACTCCCCGCGAGAGAAATGGCGCTGGCAACCACCACCCACACAGCCCAGCAAGTCATCTCGGCCCTCAACCTCACTTCCCACCCCGAGAAAGGCTACTACATTGAGACTTTCCGCGACCCGAACACCACCCCCGAGGGCCGCGCCCCCAGTACCTATATCTACTACCTCCTTGAGGGCGAGTCCGGCGTCTCACATTGGCACCGCGTGCTGGACACTGTCGAAGTCTGGCATTACTACGCTGGTGCCCCACTGCAGCTCTCGCTAGCCTGGGATGATGGCACGGCAGTGCGCGACCTTGTCCTAGGCCCGGACATCTGGACCGACCAGCGACCACAGATTGTGATTGAACGCGGGGAGTGGCAGCATGCCTTGTCGTTAGGGGACTGGACCTTGGTGGGATGCTCCGTGGCCCCAGGCTTCGAATTTGGGGGGTTTGAGATGGCAGAGCCGGGGTGGGAGCCGAAGGGGCTGGTGGCCGGGGAAGATGATGACGGGAAGGGGCAGGAGAAGATGAAGAACTGAATGGATTCTCATTCCTTTTCTCTGAGAGGAGCATTCGATATGAAATGTGACTGTCAAAGTGGAAACCTCGTAGTCTTCTACAGATTGGCCATCGCATCACACGAGGCATGTGAGCTGAGCAAATGAAGTCAAGTCGTGAAGCATGGTACAACAAATAGGACCTGTGTCCTTTGATTCATTCCTATCACAGCGTTCTGGCCTCCCGAGACCAATATCACTATGCCAATTCCTCCGAGTGCCGGATGCAGAAGCAATTCAAGTTGGTGTCTATAGATTCCAGGATCGACTTATTTTTTTCGACCGATTTATCTCCCTTTTAGGTAAGTCCCAAGTATTATATATGATAAGACCAGGGAATGTTATGTAGGGTAAAGTAAATGTGGCATAGAGATTGTTAGAAAGCAGGCTAAGCAGACGATTGTAGGAAATGTGATGTGTGCTAAAAATTTCGCTCTAACGTGATCTGCTTTGTCAGGTGACAGTAGCAATAAGTGCAACATCTGGATGGGAGTAAGTGGGCAGCATATGTGGGGGAGCTGGGACCCATGGTCCAGGTCGTCGGAAGGCAGAGTATTTCCCGCCGGGTCACCCCTTGCTCAAGCCTTGGATCCTTGATACAGACCTTATCGGGAATACCTTGAGGTGAGATTGATACTACCCACGTAGCTGGTACATCTGGAGTGTGGACACAAACTGCGCTTTCAGAGTTTTGTGTGGTGGCGGCGGCGGCGGCAGGCTGAAGCCTCGATTACATCTACCGGACCTCGGCAATATCTTCTGTATCGGGTGCTCATTAGGGCTACTCACTAACCTTATCACGGGTCGGTTTGCAGAAGTCTCAACTGAAGGGAGGATGATCACTATGTGGTGGTCTGCAAACCTGATTCGTAGACTGGAGATGTAGTGGAATCGCCTTCAACATAATCGACCAATCAGCGACACGAGTCACGAACGAAGTGCTCTCAGATCTTGAGATCATCTCTTGCTTGACCCCACACACCCACATTTCAGCTGGCACAGGGCCACAGGCAGTGTATTTTCCCGTATGGTTTCTAATGGCCTACGAACTAGCCTAGTAGTATAAATAGCCTGCAAAGGTTCTCTGCACAGCGAGAGGCAGAATCCAACCCCCAAAGCGTGTCAAGCCTCCCCACGAAAACCACCAACCCTAAACCGAAGCCTTTCTTGCTGTACTACAGTTCAAATGGCTCCCTGTTCGTCGGTGCGTAATCTCCTACCAACTTCGTACAAGAGAGAAAATACTAAAGAAGAGCATGTCTAGGAATGCCAAAACGGCTATTGGACCTGCGTGTGCCATGGTGGCAAATGGACATGCCATCTCTGCAATGGCTCCGGGGAACTTGAAAATGCCTGGGAAGGGAAGACCTCCTCAGAAGGCTGGGCCAATGGCAGAGGGTTTACGGCGGAGAGATCTAACAAATGCGGCCTTTGTGGTGGTAGCGGGCAGAAGGTAAGGACACCCGCCTCCTGCTTTTCTTGAGATCCGAACATTGGGATGGGCTAACATGTCCGACGATCAGTACTGCGCCACATGTCATGGCACGCACCGCAAGAAGTGCAATACATGTCATGGAACGGGAGTGGAGCCCAATGCCGAGTAAATCTCCACGGGCTGCTACTTTCTGTCTGGATCCATGATCATTGGGGAAACAGATCAGTTCACGGCAATAGCCAGTCAATACTGCACGCGCGAAAGCTACGGATTTTCTGGGTGAAGGTACATACCTTGTCGGCCGCCTGCGAGTTGCTGATACGGCTGTGTGACGATATTTTAGGTTAAAACAGTTAGCTAACGTATAGTTCCACTAAATATGGCTGTAATACACATATTTTTACATAAAATACTCTAAATACTTCGATGGTTTAGCCAGCGCAAGATATTCTCCAGTGTTTTTTGTTATTTACCTTCCGAAACATGTTCTATACTCAGAGTAGCCATGGTCTCACTACCGGTGATTTGGGCGAGGCCTCGCCCTCTCGGGGGGGTCGGCCGTCGCCCGCAGCGGATCCTGGTCAGTCGCTTCTGCAAGGCCAATCTGGCGTGTTTGTCCTGGTGTTGGCATTGGCGAGCCGTACGCAGCGAATAGGGCAGCAGGAGCCCAAGCACCGTTTTGAGAACGGTGCAAGCATTGGCCGCGTTGATGATGGGGATCACCTTAATAGAGTCGAACAGAGCAGAGTAGAGACCCAGTGGTGATATTTTCCACCAGCGAGGCCACCAAAAGGCCCACCGAACGCAAGGTCTCCGATGAGGTCAAACGTTGTCAGGTTGTACTATTTCCCTATCTCAGCTTCGTGTCCCCTGTCGGCCAGCTCCCTGAGCCGGTCTAGAAGCTGGTCGAGATACCCGGTGATGATCAGTTCTTGGGCCTGCAGGGCCTTGGGTGAGGAAGCGTGGGCCAGAGCTTTGCGATATCGGGCATGGTTTGTGTCGTTGGCGCCGATGATATTGCTTGCATTGCGCGTAGAAGATTGTGCCCTTGGAAGCTGGCTGTGGCCATGGCCGTAGATGTCTTTCCACGCTTGGGCCGTGGTGAAGGAGACTTCATGGTGACCGTATCTAAGAGCACTGCCGTATACCGTGTGGTACCTCTGGATGTCGCTTTCTAATTGCCCTCGGATGCGGAGATATGGCGCTGGATTGAGAAAGTGATCCAAAGTTTTGGGCCATGAATGTGGCGAAGTGGGTGCAGGTGGAGGTAGTAGATCCATATGCCCGATATATAGATGAGCTAGAGTACGAGGGCGGCCGTCGCTAGCATGATTGGAGATCTATGTAGACAAAAATGGGGAGGAATAGAATATGAAGCACACAACAAGGACAAAGACACCTGCGTAGAAATTACTAGAGAACTCGACTTCGATTCTGACGGCAGGCACAGATCGGCGCCAACACTACTAGTTATACCGTGTTCTATACGCACAATATGCATTGCGGTACACGCTGTCTGTCGGTCGCGGAGATACTTTGCATGTACTGTACTCCGTGTGCCTTCACAGATGTCCTCGAAATGATTTTACTACCACGAACAGGATCGCTCCGATGCTAGAATAACTCAAACATCACAATTACGCTGCTTATGCCAGCGCAGCTCCTGAAGGTTGGTGAAGCATATGAGGTACATCCTACCGAGCATTAAACAGCGTAACATCTCGTACATGTACAGTACAGTACACATGCTTGATAATGGCCAGAGAGTAAATATTCATGGCTGTAGCAAGAATAAGGCATAGAGATGTAGTGAACATATCAACGATCATGACCTTCCAACCTGAGCAGATTTTTGACGAACACAAATCCGTCACAATTCGAAGGAAGAACAACAGGAAACAGAGAGATCCATCCGTTCCCCCCTACGAAGACGATATCCATAATGTCACGGAACGTATTCTGCGCCGCACCCGAGCGGATGAGCGGCATGTCTTCTTCCGGAGATCCCGTTAGCCGGAGGCCGTGCCCGTCGGAGTCGAACTTCCTAATCGGGATGCATCCAACCCTAGGTAATAACCCTGACCTTCAGTATTATGGATATTACTAGCCGTGTCTAGAGGCAGTACTAGATAGCTACGGAACGAACCGAGTACTGAATCTTTATAGTGTTTGCATAGATCAGCTGTAACCCTCTCTTCTGAGAGTACACCATATAATAAGAGGATGCCCACAATCGCAATTTGAAACGCCAGAATCATTATTTCTCTCCCCAGACCACGGTTGAACACAAACTTGCTCTCACTCCAGCCACTAAAAAGGGCTTCTTACCACAATATGTCATCTGAAATCAGCGCCAAAAGACGCATCATCCTTGGGTTGATGACCCTTGGCCCAGACGCCACCCACGGTGCTCGCATCACGAGTCTGGATGAATTCAATCGGTGCCTGGACCTGTTCCAAGAGAAAGGCTACGGTGAGGTGGACACCGCTCGACTCTACGATGGCGGTCGGCAGGAGGCATTCACCCGCCAGACAGGCTGGAAAGAACGAGGCCTCTCAATGGCAACGAAGTGGGCCCCACTCACATCAGGCGCCCACCGCGCAGAAATCCTGGAGGAGAGGCTGGATGAGTCCCTACGAGAGCTGGGAACGGACCAGGTGGACATCTTCTATCTCCATGCGGCGGATCGCACCACCCCTTTCCCAGAGACGTTCGAAGCACTCGACCGACTGTACCGACAGGGGAAGTTTAAGCAGCTGGGACTCAGCAACTTCTCTGCCTTTGAGGTTGCGGAAGTCGCAACTCTGTGCAATGAACGCGGCTGGGTCCGGCCCACGATCTACCAGGCGATTTACAATGCGCTGAGTAAGGATGACCCATCCCGTTTATGCAAGCAATCAAAGTGCTAATTGATCTACCTAACCAAGCACGTGGGATTGAGGATGAGCTCATCCCCTGCTGCCGCCGCTGGGGCATTGACGTGGTCGTCTTCAACCCCTTGGCAGGCGGGTTCTTTTCTGGCAAATACAAGACGGCTGAGCAGCCTGCCGACGGACGATTCAGTGACGGGAACCCAATGCAGGGCAAGATGTATCGGGATCGGTACTTCAAATCGAGCATCTTCCGTTCTTTGAAAATACTGGAGCCGGTGGCTCAGAAGCACGGACTGTCAATGGTGGAGGTGGCCCTTCGCTGGTGTGTCCATCACTCGGCTTTGAGAATCACCGATGGTCGTGATGGTATTATCACAGGATTTAGCAGCTTTGAGCAGCTCGAGGGCAACCTGAATGATCTGGAGAAGGATCCTCTACCGACCGAGGTCCTTGATGCTTTAGATCAGGCTTGGTCTGTTGCCAAGGTTGATGCAAGCAAATTTTGGCATGGCGAGCTGGTGTATGGATACGAAACTCCGGGAGCGCTGTTGCAGGAGCGCAGCTGACGCATTATGTGGGGTGAACGACTTGCTTACAAAGTCATAGAAGTCCATGATGTTAAAAAGCCTAGATGGCCTCATCCTTCATATAATTTGTCCAGAAAGCTAAGGGTCAAGGCAGGCATGCCAAACACGTTCTCATAGCCAACTGATTCTCCCCGAATCTCTGCAAATGAGCAGTAGCACTACTTGAAGTAATTGGATTTTTGCAAGCATTATATGCCGAAAGTATGCAAATGATGTGAATCCGAATTCAAATCTGCGAGTCTGACTGACGTAGTATGCCATGGTAGAATATCAATACCTCGTCCACGGACGGTCTGCTGGGTCAAGTACTCTGTAGCAATAGCATCTTGCGCAGAACTCATCTGAGACACATCATAGCTGAAGAGCAACAGGCATGGTTGGTCTCACTTTTCAGCAGATGGCAGGACAATGCCTAGTAGTTGTTCCATGGAGAAACAGAAAGGAAGAGACCCAACCTATGAGACTGGAATTCGGGTCCACCGTGGAGTGACCCGTGACCCGAGACCCGTGACCCGGAGCGGACCTACTCTTTATGGAGATGGCTTGCCGAGTCACATGACCTCAGCTCTTTTTCGATCTCATCCTCTTGGAGAAGTTCCGTTCCGCATCCATGATCCATCATCCGGACAAGACAGTTGTGGTGAGTCAATAGTAAAGACATAGTGAGGTCAAGAAAAGTATGCCACCAACAGTATCCCGGCCTTCTTTGCGCCGAAATGGCAAATTACAGGCGTGTGAGGCGTGCCGTAAACTTAAGATCAAATGCGATCATTCGCTACCGAGCTGTGCCCGCTGCACCGAGAAACAGTTACGCTGTATCTATGCTTCTGCGCGTACAACAAGAGGGTTTCGACCCGTCACCTTCCGTGAACAGCCCCGTATCAGCTCGGTGACAGAAGCTGCAGTGCCGGACACTCCGGTCTTTCAGGTGCTCTCACCCTCAGCTGGTCCAGCGACATCAATCGCTGGAGGCCCGGCTGTGGTGGCGAGAGCCAGATCTCCTCAAGCCCGTGCTGACCGTACTCTGATCAGCCAACACCAGCAGTCAACCCGCGAGCTGTCCAGCAACGAAGAAGACCCTGTCGTGGTTCATGACCCACTCAACCCACATCTCGTTTACCTGGGCGTGCAGGTGCTGGAATTTGTTCATCGGAACCTGCCGCTGCTACGAAACCTTATTGTCCACCTGTACGGCTTCAATTACCTGCCGATCCTTCCAGAACCCGTCTTGCTTCCGGGATGGGATACGCTGTGGAATCAACTAGTCAGCTTCAACCTTGCGGATGAATCCGCCAAAGTCAGTCTCGTAGCTCGCATATTCCACATATCCCAACACCCCATCTCTGTCACTGAGTCGACGTCGCTCCACAGCCTTCATCGTTTCATAGGCGGAGATAGTCTTCGGTGGGAGACGATAGGTAACGTGTTAATGTTGGCCAATTGCGATCTGCTACACATCCATTATCGCGACCTTGCCGGTGCAGATCCGCGCCAACGAGAACCACCAGTGCTACGCTCGGAATTTCAGCAAGTTACCGAGGTTTTCACGCAGCTGACTCGCGCCCTGCCAGTGTGTGATGAGTTAAGCCTCTGTCTGAAGTATAATCGTTTTCTTCTGGCGTATCACCAATCGGACGATTCTGGTAAGTACGTGCTCTCTGAATTGTTTTTGGCGCCACTTTGACAAGGTTTCAAATAGGTCAGTCCCTTCACTCATCCTTCGCTGAGATCGTCTCTGCAACCTACACGGCAGGCTTTCATCGTATCATCCCATTGGCAGGAGGGCGCCTCAGCTTCGTACCGCAGTGGCGCCGACGAATATTCTCTATGGTCTACACCATGGATAAGAAACTGGCGACGTTTCTTGACCGTCCGCCCCTAGTGACGCGTCAGTACTGTGACATGGAGGCTCCGGCAGATGTAAACATAAGTGATAGCGACGCCACGGGGATGAGGAGCGAGGGGATCTCGTTCGATGCGCTTGGGTTCACTATTGGGGGCAAAAGCTCTCCGATCACGTTCATTCGTCTTCGCTTTCTCCTCGCCATCATCAAGGAGGAGATTCTTGAACTGCAGCTTGGCACAAACAAATCGACTATACCTGAAAAGACCCCGTATGTTGCTCACTGTGGTTCCCACAAGTCCGTTGGGAGACAACTGACACAGGCTCCAGACAAATTCTAGACAGGCTCGACGCATTGTGGCAGTCTTGTCCCAGCTACATGAAATATACCAGTGATATGTGGCAGATGCCGCTCGGGTGTGCGGAGACTCTTACTCATCTCTACAATTATCTGGACTTCCTCCATTGCAGGTTTCTGACTCTAAGACTTGCGCAACATGATACCTCCCAGGAGTGTTCCCATCTGCTGATTGTAGTGGCACAGGAGGTCCTTTCGACCTTGCTTGTCCTTAATGAAGAGCGAGACAGGGTGAGAGAAGTGACCACTGATTTAGCTCCAATTGTACGTGCAATCCTATGTTTCTACCATCCATTGCTGATGAACATCCTTAGTTTCTGCCCTATGGACTTCCGAGTGCAGAGATTCTCCTGTCTGAGATGCTTCGCTATGGCTCCAGTGCTGTGGGTAACAGGGACATGTATCCGAGCCTCTCACATGCAAAAGCCCTCCGCAACCTCACCGTCTACGTCTCATGTCTGTCATGGGTGTCTCCTCGGGGTACCAGGAACTCTAGCTGCTGCAAGAAAGCCCAGGCACGACTCGAGCAGCTCTTGGACCGGATCCTTGATCCCATTAGCACGGTCGGCGATGTGGCACCGGAAAACGCGGGTCTCGGCAGTGATAGTGTTCCCCTCCCGGACTTAGCGGAGTATAGCCCACACTTAGATCTTAGCTCGATGCTTAGTTGGGATCTTTCAGGGATGGAATGGGGCTATGCTCCGTTCGTTTAGAAGAAGGGGTTGACCTCCTTATCTCGTGGGTCTCTCATTCATCTTCGGATATATTACTTGCTGGAAAGAGGTGGCACCAGCCACTAGCCGCCTTACTCTTTCGACTGATCTATCCTAACCATGTCCTCAAGAAGTGGCAGCGCCATCTCCATCCCCGCCCCCTGGAAAATCTCCCGAAAGCGTCGAATGATCCACTTACGGGCCGGCTCTGCGGTGACGGGTGATTTCCCGACCATGTAAAGACACCAAATCAGAATGTATGCACCCGACACGCTGGCTCTCGGGCTAACATCCCCTGCATAGGGTTGAGATGGGTAAGAGGGCGGGGCCACGATTCCCAGCGCCTGCGGCACCGTGGCCAGAATATCCTCGCCCACGCGGGAGAGGATTCCGACAGTCTCGTGCAGTTGCTGACGGCGCAAGCGAAGTTGCGCAGCTGGGGCGGCGGGGTTCAGCGTGAGCATCTTCTTCAGAAGATAGCATATAATCTCGCAGACAATCATTTGGATGCTGCGCGCGTTGTTCCAGGCTCGAAGCGCCCACGGGGTGAGGTAGAAGTCGACGCGACCGTTGTAGATCGCGTCAGGATTTCCGCCGACCCATCCCGCTTCTTCCGCGGTGGTGGTGTAAAACGGCTCTTGAACGGCGAGGGTCGCCATCGCGAGTTCAAAATCCCGCTCCAATACCAGCGCAGCGTCGAGAAGATCGGGTAATTGAGTTGTGCCTGTGCTTTCCATCACCTGCCAGAGCAGGTCCACACACCGGGTAGCCAGCACCCCTATGTCCCAGATGGCGTTGGGAGCGCCGACGTGCTTGGCGGCCTCGTCCTGGAGGGCACGCATATCCGCCGGGAACGGTTGGTTGGTGCGGGTGCAGGCGGCTATGATGTCGGTGCGGACCTGCGTGAAGAGGAGGAGGGCGGTCGGGTTGCCGCGCGCGAATTGGCCCTTGCCGCGGAGCACGGTCAGCGCGGCCGCCCCCTGCACGTGACGCACCCAGGCGTCAAAGCCCGAGAAGTGCTCGAACACGCCCAGGGAGATAACGGCCATCAGCGTGCTGTCTTTAACTGACTCCACGGGCGAGGCCAGGGCAGCGTTGACGCTCCGGATGGCCTCCGCGTACTTGATGCGCGCTTGGCGCACCAGCTCCGGCTGACGATGGGAGTTCGCCAGCGTCACCAGGCCGACCGCGGCCAGGCTGGCGACCAGGGTGGGCTGGTCGTCATTGGTGCCCAGAGTGGCCGGGATATAGTTGAGGTATCCACGCGAGGGGCTGTGGTCGCCAGTGACAAAATGATGCAGGAAGGCGTTGACGCCCACCTGGTCCATGCTCGGACACAGTGAGGGCTGGGGGGGTGGGGGCGACAGGGGGCTGTGTGTGATGGTCGTCGAGGCTGCCTGACACTGCGACCGCTGGATGGTTTGGTTGGTCTGATCGCGAAAGACCAGGTCCCATTGATCTCGGTAGCCGGGACATTCTTCCCGCAGTCGAATGCATTGCCCGCATTGGGGGCGCTGTTTGTCGCACTGTTCGGGATAGTCAGCGCCCCTGAACCACGGCAAGACCGAATGGAATGTTACCCACGCGTCGTTTGACGGCTCGGCAGTTGCCACAGCTTTTGGAGACTCGTGGACCAGACATATCTGCGACCGGAAGGAGGGTCTACGGAAATTAAAATTAAACGTGAACCTGTGTGAATCCTGAATCCCTGTAACAGCTCAAGCAAGTGCTTGGGTCCAACATCCAAGGCGACGGGAGGGGCATTGGCGGCATGCAGAGAGTGAATTGGCAGGAGGTGGTGTGGGGTGGGAGGGGTGGAGGGACTCAAGGGAGACTAGAGAGAAGCAACCGAGATCGGCGGGGGCCAAGAGATTTCAATCAGTTTCCTTGGGCATTTTGTGGGTTGGAAAGCGGGCCGCGGGACCCACTGGGCTCCCGTCAGCACTAGTCCGCTTACGGTAGGCGAGATGCTCTACCATTCATCGTCCGTCGATAACTTCAAAGTTTTAGGGCTGTGTTTTCCCAAACATATCAGCCGCAACAACTTTTGGGAACATAAATGCTACCTCCCTTCTGCTTTCTCTTCGTCTGCATCATCTCTGCATCCGACTTCAGATCTTCTTGACTACCGCAAACACCACGTTTTATTTAGCATCTTTCTTCCTCACTACCTACAATGGGCACCGTTACCTACCGCGACGGGATCGCTATCCTACAGCTCATCGTTTTCCCCGTCATTCTCGTTGCTGCCATATTTATCTGGAGACGAACTGGATGGCGGGTTGGTAGCAAGATCTGGCGATTCGCAGTCACACTCTCCCTCATTCGAATTGCCGGCAGCATCGCGTCACTCTTGACCATCAGCCATGATTCCTACAATGTCGAGGTCGCCGTAGCGGTGTGCGAGCTCATCGGCATTGCTCCTCTGCTACTCACCTATGTCGGTCTCTTGAGACAAATGTAAGTGCCCACGACAAATCAAACATGCCTACCGCCGCATGTTCCAGAACGAGCTAACCGCAATGAATCACCAGCGACACGCAGCAAAGCCTCCCTCCCCGCTTCCTCAACATTGTGTCCCTCGTCTGCATTATTGGCTTGATCCTCGGCATTGCAGGTGTCAGCAGTGCGGATGACAACGGCACCTACCACGTGAACAGCATCGTTAAGGCATCCATGGGCATTTTCCTCGCCATCTTCGTCCTCATCGTTGCGATCGGCGCATGGCTCTTCGTGCAAATTCGCCCCACCATGCGGGCGTTCCAGAGGAAGCTCTTTCTCGCGATCGCGCTCTCCTGTCCTCTGCTCATTGTCCGGCTGGTTTACTCGGCGATGGGAGATTACACGACTGATACCCGGTTCACGGTGCTGGTGGGTAGTCCCACCATCTACCTGTGCATGGATGTGCTGGAGGAGATTTTCGCTATGCTCATCACTATGGTTCTGGGGGTCTCGGCTGTGTTGGAGAAGGATTTTGTGCAGTTGAGTCCGACTGAGAGGTCCGCAGATGGAAAGATTGAAGGAGTATGAGGGCTTTTCCGGCAGTTAGCTTAAGTGGTTTATTTGAATTTCTATGTGCGATGCGATATATGTGATTAGAGTCTTAGTCGATCAAATGTGAGCTTTTACAGAATCGCGACCTGCGTGGCAGAAATGGATTCTCCTACATAGTATCTTCATTCCTACTCAGATAGAGGTCGTTTAATTGGAACATAATGAGCTACGGAATAGTGCCTTAGTCTATCCTGAAAGATGTGGTCATACAATAACAAATTGTGAGTTTGAGCCCCTTGAAGGGCTCCACTACGACGAAGCGTAGATTATCTCAGGACCCCACAGTCGGATCCCTAGAAGATTTAGTAGTTTGAGGCTGTGTGCCAACGTCGATCATTGCCTTCAACATGGGACAAACACATCAATTTACCTACAGAATTGACATGTATAGTGCATGCTTGGGGTGCCTGAGGTGCTTACCTAGGTAGCATCCCCACTGTGGGGCTAAGGTGGCTGTGGTTCGCTCGCCTGTTTATATTGAGAAGTTCTCCGCTTATCATCCCGTCATGGAGAGAGCCTCGAGACTAAGGCCCGAAAGGGCAATCGAGATGTTCAGCCAATCAACTGATGAAACAAAGCAGAACATGCAATGTCGATCGGTACCTTAGTACGGAACCTTAGTGGCCTGGAGGTATCCATGATCATGGATATACTATACCTGGTAGGTATACTCTACCCGCAACTCAGCCTCATCCTCCCAAGTTGCCCATACCTTGCTAATTCTGGTCCAGCCGAGCACGCTCAACTCAACCCATGTTGGAAATTCAGCCCGAGCTTCAGCTTTCCGGTAGGTTCCATCGAAACAGACAAGCCCTTTTCCCTTCTGCTCAAACATGAAAATGTGATTCTCCACTTGTTCAATTCTGGCGATCTGTGCGCTTCTTCCGCACAGCCATTCAAGCTCTCTCCTACAGCACCGTCTAAGAGCTCTCGTTGAGAGTCTCGACGAAGCCCACTTTGAAGGAACAGTCGCAAATGATGTCGAGTCGCTCCTGAATATCCGTTTTGGCCAGGACACCTCTGGTCTCAACCGATTCGCGCCACCGAAGCCATTCAATTATGCCCCCGGCACCTTGGTGAATGCCACCCAGGTCGGCGCCGCCTGCCCGCAACCGCAACAAGCGGTTTCCAGCATGCCCCTGTTTGACAATGTTACCACCATGTCGGAGGACTGTCTCACTCTCCGAATTGACCGACCAGCCAGAACTCTATCTTCCGCCAAGATCCCCGTCATGGTCTGGATCTATGGCGGCGGGGACTCATTCGGGCAGATCTACGACTCGGTCTACGACCCGACGGGGCTCGTGACCGGCACTGCCCAGAAGGGCTTCCCTATCATCTATGTCGCCGTCAAATACCGCGTCGGGGTCTTCGGGCTTGCTGCCTCTCCCGCGCTCGCCGCCAGCGACTCACTGAATGTCGGGCTGTTGGGCCAGCGGCTGGCCCTCGAATGGGTGCAGAAGCACATCGCCGGCTTCGGCGGCGACCCGGACCCGGACCAAGTCACCATTGTCGGCGAGAGCGAGGGCGCAACCGGAGTCGGTCTTCTGATGACCGCATACGGCGGTCGGGAAAGAAAGCACCCTTCCAGCGCGCCATCATGGAATCAGGCGGCCGAATGGCCGACCGAAGAATAGCCGGCAATAAGTCCTAGGTGCATACCGCACAATTGACCAACTGCCCACCCTCGCCTCCGACACGGACGTGGCCTTGTTCCTGGCCACCAAGTATCCCGCCCTGTCCGCCACCCGCATCGAGCAAGCCCTAGCCCTGTACCCCGTCTCCGACTTCGCTGGGCTTCCCGCTGAGAACATCTCAGCGCAGTATTTCCGCCCGAGCCGAATGAAGCGCGACGCCGAATTCTCCTGTCCCGCGCTCGCTCTACACCGCGCAGATGACCGCGCGGTACGTTACCGTGCCCACCACCGCAACCTACCTGTTCGCTTTCAACCAAGCGCTATTCCGATCCTGGTACGCGGAGGCCAATGACCTCCTACCTCGGGGTCTCGCACTTCAGCGACATTCCCTACCTCTTCGACCAGGCGCAGAGCAGTTCGCGATACGCCCCGTACGCGACGGCAGCCGATCGCATTCTGTCCTCGGACATAAGTGACAGCTGGGCGGCCTTTGCGGCATTCGGGTCTCTCTCGCACGGCAATGGCACGATCGCTGGATGGACGGGCTTCACGAACTCGTCTCCTTCTCGGTCTATTCATGACCACCATTCTGCAAGTCCGCGTGGGAGTACCCATTCGAATTATCGAGTCCGGAGGGTGAGATTCGGGGAATAGGGTAGAATGACACCCAGGGCGGGTAAGTTATGCGGATCTTGCCGCTCGATGCGATTTCTAGACTTCTCGGGAAGTGGTGGAGGCACTACAGGTTTGAAATTAGATTTCTCTTGAACGAAATACAACCTGTTAGAAGGCTAAGGGGGGCTTTATGTATGTAATGGTATGGTCACGGGCTGGAAATAATCTGGGGAAGTCGCTAGTCATGATTATCTAGCAGGAAATTAACGACAACCGTCTTTGGCGGGTTAGCCGGCTTATCCGAGCGCTTTTCGCAGGTTAAAATATCCTCCACTCAGTCACGTCACATAGTGCCAGGTCCGTCCGCAGCCCGTCATTAAATCAAGGCACTTCGACCCTCGTGTGGGTGCTGTTGCTGTCCGCCCAGCAACCAAGTACAGTGCAATATCTCCAATGCCCGACTATCCGCCCACGCCAACCAATGTTACCCGATAAGATGTGGCCCGTCTTCTACGAGGTCGATTTCCACCGACTCCCTCTTCATCAAGGGGTCCAGGACACTACCGGTCAGCTATTGCCCTGATCACGACCATCGTCTAGGGGGCTAACGATCGACTCCATAGACCCCGATACATGCATCATATGCTTAGAACCACTGGACTGCACAGCGATCTACCGCCAGCTACCGTGCGAGCACAGCTTTCATCAGCCGTGCATCGACGCCTGGCTCTGCAGCCACGACACCAGCTGTCCGCTCTGTCGGGCCAAGTTTTACCATCTTCGCCGGCGGATCCAGCCCGCCCACACGGCGGTCCAGCAGCAACCCCTCCCTCCGGTCGCGCGGCCAGGGTCCTTCCGCTCGTGGTGCAAAAGGGCCTTCAAACGAGCGGCTACGGCGGAGCAACCACCTGGCATTGCTCCGCCGCTCATGTAAACGAGCCTCGCGCATTGGCGGACAAACCAATGCAGTATAACTGAAATAAAATGAATCATGCTTCCTTGGATTCTTGCGCTGTTCCAGGGCTGGATTTTGTCAAGATAGCACACCCGCCCGCACCGAATGGGGTTTTTGGTTGGGGGGGGGGAGGGGGGGGGGAGGGGGGAATTTCCTTGTAAAGTAGCGTCATAGGCATTGGACAAAAGCAAGCATAATTCCCCTCTAGTGAAATGGTAGCCTGGGAATACCGCTTTTCCCGACAGGACAAAAGTTTTTGCGAATGTGGATGAGTGATGGATTCAGGTAATATGTACAAGAGAGTTTATAACGGTGGGGCCAACCGGACAGCATCGCGAGCTGTGACCACCCTGGCCAGGGAGGCTGCAGCAGTCCCACGGACAATGGACAACGTCACTAGTGAGAGGATTCACAGCTACTATCCCAAATTGTAGAAACAACTGCCTCAACATGTTTTGTGCGAGACCGGGAAAACCCCCACTCGTCGGATGTCCGATACCGACTGGTTGGTCAGGGGGTTGTGAATTCATAGTATGGGGTGGGGACCCGTTAGTCAAGCCCTATAGGGCTGAGATAAGACTTCAATGTATGTCCGGGAGGGGCAGCAGGTACCTGTATCATGGATCTAGGCACTATCTATCATTCTTGGCCTCCCAGTCTCTCCTGCACATCTTTACCCGTCGACCGCATTGCTTCGTTAGTCGTACAGAAGGGATAAGTACGAAGTACTGATCACTGGTGTCAAGCTTTCCGCGCAGAATTTGTGTTGTCAATGAGTAAGTGACGGAAGGGTCGGGTAACACGGCAAAAGCGGGGCGGGCCACCCTGTGCAGGAGTCGAGGATCCAAATTTCTCTCGAATTGGTGCCTATTCAACACATCAGAAGGCCCAGTGTTTCGTCTATGATCTAATGCTTCGTTTGTAACGGTAGTCTTCTTGGACAAGCTCCTTCAATGATGAAACATCTTGAGAACATGTCGGTCACATCTCCGCATAGCGATCTACGAAATGACGTTAATTCAGATAAGGTGCGGATTACTCGATACCTCATGTGTAAAAGCGAGCGCAATGGAACGTCGTGGTCCAGTTGGGAGTATAACTCCTTCTCCAGAACTAAGAATAACACCACAACGTGCCGTTCATGGAGGACCACGAGCGGGGGTCCTCGGTCGCTGCAGAGCCTCCTGGGCACCGTTTCCCCAGAAAGCCGGCGACTTGGCTATCAAGACGGATCCTTGATGACCTTGATGCCAAGCACACCGACCTGATTTGCCTGTTCCTCTGTTTCATCACAGCGCTGTGCGATAGTAGTGCCTACAGTGTGTGGTCGTGCTATTTGGGCTTGCAGACAGGTATAGCAGTTTCCAGCCTGGGAGCTCGGCTCGGGAGCAAATAGGTCCTTCTAACCAATCCTTATCCCAGGAAACACGATCACACTCGGCCTTGGGGCTTCCGGCCAGCCCAAATCCAAGCCATTCGGCTGGCTCAAGTCACTGGTCTTGATATCTTCATTCATGGCCGGCGCGTTCACCTTTGCCAACGGATTGCGCCTCCTCGGTCCGCGCCGGGCCGTCACGCTCAGTTTCTCGTTCCTCGTTCAAGCCTCCCTGATCATCATCGCCAGCGCTCTTATCGAAGCAGATCTCATTCAGCATACCTCTGCGGCGACCTCGCTAACAGGCGGCCCACTCTTTCTCGAGCTCATCCCAATCGCACTCTTGGCGTTTCAGTCGGCAGGCTGTCTGGCCGCGAGTCGCTTCCTGGGATTCAACGAGATCCCGATCGTCGTGTTGACGAGTGTGTACTTCGATATCGCCTCCGATCCGCATCTGTTGACCTCGTTGTTGAAGAATGCACCGAGAAACCGGCGCCTGTGCGGTGCGGTGTTGTATGTGGTCGGTGCCATCTGCGGAGGGTGGTTGAGTCTCAGCGCTGGTGGTATGCAGTCGGCCTTGTGGATTGCGGCCGCGCTGAAGCTAGGGTTAGCGGTTGTGTGGCTGTTCTGGACGAAGGAGCAAGGTTGAAGCACATCTCCGGTGGACAGGATGCTATGCCACCGAGACAGGTTATATCGAGTCAATTGGAGCGCTGTCATGCACGGTCAGTCAAGCTGCGAAATGACTAGCTGAGGCGCGAAGGTGGTACAAAGACCTTCCTTTCCATACTGCAGAGACATCATCAATCCACTCATCTATTCGCCGTGACTTGACAGTCGACGCCCTCGATGTTTTCCTTTTTCATGCACAGTTACTACAGGAGTGAACATGTGAATGGATTAGACTAGGCGAAGAGCACCACTGAATCCATTGTTACTACAACTATAAATATGCATGAGGATGCATCTCGAGCATTCACACATTTACCGGGCTGTCATCGATATGAACTGCGAGTATGGCTAGTGGGGGAGATACTGTAGTACTCGGCCCGGTACAAGTGTGCCCGATGCGTATATCTTGTCTTCCAACAGCTCCATTCAGTCCAGAACATCCATTCAGTTATTCCATACTCTAAGAAGTTTGCGAGACTTCCAAATTTATCTATCCGTGCACACACAACAGGAAGGAATACCTTCAGTTATGTTGGACCTGCGGCCAACTTCCCCTTGTACTCCTCAAGTGTGGTGATCTCGAGATCCGGGCTTTCGTGGGCCTGTTCCAATATGAAACTCCAATGAAGAAGTCATGATATGTCAGTCTCTAGAATGCTCTGACAAGGCACAGAAGACGAATGAACAAAGAACTAAGTCTGCTGAGGAAGGATACCATAATGATTGAGCTTCAACCACGCCTTGGCAATGTCGTCGAGCTGCAGCCCGGGGAGTAGTACTTGCGGGATTTCGTCCTCGAATCTTGAAGCCTGATCGTAGATATACTGGATTATGGTACCCATCACATCCCAGCCCCTTTCAATCGTCTCGATGGTCTGCTTAGCCGGGCCGATGAGGTCGCTTATTTCTTGGTGTTTCTCCGTGGCCGTCATGGTTTGGTCTTGCTTTTAACCGACGGGGTGAACAAACTTTCTACCTTCATCGTCGCCAGAATCACATACAGGTGCACGTGCACCTTGATAACCTGCTCATCAGTCTGGATTTCCTCATTCAAGCCGTTGGTCTTTTTTTCATAGGAGTTGGTATCGTATCGTTTTGGTACTGGAACCACATGACCGTGCCAGCGATGGTTCCAGCCCCAGGGCTGTGACCGCCCAGTCTCCTTGCATGGCATAGGTTTATTGGTCGATCGTACTTACGCCCAAACATAGGCTGCCACTGTTCCTTGATTTGTGCGATCTGTGATTTGCCTGGTAAGCCGAATGGCATCACAAGGGTGCTGGGGTTGGCGAAGAAGTTTACCTTGATCGATCACGCTTTGATCATTATCCATCTGGCCCTTTCGGGTGTTAACTTCTGTTTACAAGTCTTGTATATCTCCATACTCCTTGCTAAGAGCTTGATCCACGGACTGTTCGAGCGTCTGAAGTGTGGATCCATTGCTCCGGCAGCTATTGTCGATTTTTATCTATTTGAATATCTGCTTTGATATAAGTTTTCGAAATAATGCCAAGCCTTGCTGATCTGAGTCTGGATAATGGTGATACCACTGGGACAATCCTCTGTAATTTGAGTGATGTACTCCTTAGCCAGCTTCTTGGTCTTAGGGTCGTCGGCTCGATTATTAATTGCGTACTCCCGCAGCATCAGCCCGTAGGACGAGTCTCCAGAGTCTTCAGCGCCAGCATTATCCGAGTAATCGTCGATATACTGGGAGAGCGTCGTCATCGTTTCCCATGCGCACAGTTGGTTCAAGTCATTATCATCAGCATCAACACGGTCGCCGCCGCCATCAGTGGTAGGCTTGTTGAGACAACGGCTGCCCTGACCAGCAGCATCATCGCTTGTGGTCAAGAATCCAACGCAGTCGCTGTTTATCTGACCCTAGGGATGAGCAGAGAGCAGTATCTGCTTGACAACTGCGGTTCCATACCGTCATCAACTCGTCGGCTACCGGGCTCAAGTGACTATACAGCTAATGGTGTGTGTTATTTAAGCTTGACGCACAGATGGAAGCAGGGTTCCGGGGAAGGTATCTCTGTCCATACGATTTGATAGCCATTGTCCGAGAAGCTCGCGTACTGCTGGAGGGAGTCGTCGTCGCTCGGGAGGGTCTCCATCGCCTGGATAATCCCCGACGGCGTACGGAAGGTGGACAGCGTCAAGCAGAAGTCATCGTTGACCAGGAGGTCTCGTGGACTCAGAAAGTCTTCGTAGCGTGGCATGATTGAGTTGAGCGATAGCCTTTTGGGGGCCCATTACTGCCGGATAGTAGCACGGTATCTTATCTGGATCGATTAGATTAGGAGTTCCAGGAGGAAGCCCGCAGTCTATGACGAAGAGTCGTGCAAACATGACATGTTGCTTTCGGTTGCGCATTGAGCTTGCATCTGCCACCGATGACAACGAGACTTCTTTGTCTGTTGACCTCGTACGCGTGGAAAGGGCTTTTTGTCGGATTTGACGTCAAATACAATGGTAGATGGGAATTGAACAGTACACAGGAATGGCATATTCATACCATGGACTGACTCTGTGGCTTGTGCAAAACATGCGACACAGCACAGGCAGGACAGATCTCGTTCCCCGCGGACTATATATGTGCAACGAGCCCTCGCTTGGCTCAGCGGCTGCATTGCTTGGTTAAACGTGGCTTGCTTGATTAGACGACAGAGAAAAATTGAAACTATTGCATGTATATGATCGTATGCTACCTGAAGACTTTTTTCTCAAGTGGATATTTTCATAGCTTATTCATGCCTGCAAGTAAAATAGTGAATGGCTGAGATACGGGGGCATAGGCAGGTGCGTCGAGGTTGTAAATGCATCCTTGGCGCTGAATAATCTCCCCAAATTCCGTCCACCGGCATCATTACTCAGAATCGTTTGTCTCAGATGATGAAGCTTGCTATCAAGGCTAACTGGTAATACTTGTCTGATCTGCCTTAGATCAATGCGTGAACCGGAAATGTTGGTTGGGAGCATCAACGATATGAGTTGTGAGACTGCTGGCACGATCATCTGATAGTCCCTGGGTAAGTTGTATACGTGTTACATGAATCAGAAAAGCAAATCGAAACGGGTCATCTGACTGACTCGGTGGTAGCTGACATGAGTCGACAGTCGAACGGCCGTTGGACGATCGCGCCTAACAGGTGATGAGAGCGTGAAGATGTGTGGATTCTGCCTATCTCGGAGGAACTATCTACATGCGCGGCCGGAAGGCGGTGAGGTGCCACCGCGGAGGCAGGGCCTCCGTCAACAGGGCAGAATCAGACAACTAGCGAGACTTCGTTGCAGCGCGGTACCGAAGACACTGTTACAAAGGTGAGTCTCTCTGCTGGTAAGCTTGCAGTTGCCACCTCTTCAGGTAAGATGAAGAATCAAATCCTTATCGCATTGAAGCTACCCGATACGAAGGAGCCCTGCGCTTTTCGTAACGGTCGATAAGGCAGGTCGTGTCCGATAACGCCAGCGACCCATATCTATGGCATACCCACCCTGGTCCGAGCGTTGCCAAGGTCATTAGTGAGCCAGTAACCGGCTGATCATTCGAGGTGGATTGACAATGTCTTGCCACGATCCATGACTCGAGGCTCTGTCAAGAGAAAGTATACGCGAATGAGTTTATCGGGACGAATCATTGCTACCTCCTTCGAGCCTCTTGGAGGGTCATGTCTTCCAATCCATGCTGACTGTACTGTGTGCTCACCGGCCATTGATTCAGGGTCTCCAGGTTCACATGGATCAAAACCTAGAGCCCCGTTCCTGCTGGAGCCCTAGGAGAGCGCGGGTAAAAAAGAGGCTACCGAGGTTTATCGCGAAGGCAGGTCATATTCACCCCCCCCCCCCCTCCCCCGTCAACAGCAGCGGACGCCTTGGCAGCGGAGAATCTAACAAACCGTGCCGTGGGAAGTTCCAGCCTGACAGGCAGTGCACCGCAGGAGCATGTCCGACCTGCCTAGTTCCACGATTGCCCATGAGCAAATCCCGAGGTCTCGCAGTTGGACACCCGACGCACTTGGTGCGTCACGCAGGCGCCCTCGTCAAGATCTTCCCACGACCCCAAGAATAGATGAGGGGAGATGGCTCTTGACGCAGGTTCCCACGCATGAAAAAAAAAAAGGCACCCGACCGCATGAAGGCGGTGTCGAAGGAGAAGATCCGGCGCGGTTTCTAAGTTCAGAAGCTGTCTCAGCAGGCGGAATAGACCTTACTTCTGCATTTATAATTAGCAATGATCATGCCTTACCACACGCACGCAGTTCCAAAGACCTCGTTGCTTCTCCGGACCGGTTGGTTTTGGCGTGTACTGTATTCCGTACCGTATCCGGCTCTCGGATTAAGTTATACGGCTTTCGGCCACGATGCGGCTCTCTATCGCTATACTTGATCACAGAAGATGTTTTCTTCCAGTCCGCAGCAAGTCAAAAAGCTTTCGGCTCTCAGTTGTCTGTCGTCAGTAGGTACACGGCCCAAGAAAGGCAACTCAGACGAGCTGACATATCTCACCAGGTAAGACATTACCATAATCAGCAAAAGCTCGCAAAGCGGTGAAAATGTTTATTGTGGCTCCAGGATTGACAGGTCTGAACCAATGACATCATGAGCCATCATCCGTGGATATGCATGTTTAGACAACCATATAATAAAGCTTTTACATCTCCGAGAACATTCTTTTCCAGGACCGAAAAATATCGGCTACGACGAAGAGGAGTTGCGGTGTGCGGGGGAATTCCGGATAGTGGGAGAAACTGCAGGTGCACTTATGCACGCTGGTCCCGCTTCTGCGGAATGCCCCTCGATGGGTTACAAATCACAATTCCACGCAACTTGTGTGACTCCAGATGGGGAGTAATCACTACGCTTCTTAGGGGCTGTCCAAATAACTGTATAGTGAATCGTAGCTAGAAGGTACAGATCAATTATTGGATCATTGTCGTCTGGTAAACTCCATGCAGCAATATCTCTGCAATAAAGAATCAATGAACCTTGACCTCTATCGATGAGGGATGTCGTACAAGGAAAGCGATATATGTCGACTCTCCCGAACTATTACAGATTGAAGTCAAGATAGAGTACAACGCGGGAAGAAGTCCTCGATACCATGCAGAAGACCAATCAATATAATGAATCTACACTCCCCATCGTAGGAATACTATTGATCGAAGTGTACTCGCCCTCATTTCAGACTCTCATGCATCCGCTGTCGTAAAATGGTCAATTTGCCTGCTCTCTATCGTAACTATGAAGCATAACAGAGCCCGAGATCCCACTAGCCTACTCCGCTTTACCCCCCTCGCTCGTAGCATGAAAATGAGCGCATGCATGCACGCTTCAATAATCTTGCATCTCGTCAACATCAAGCGTAGAACAGCGCGACGACAGCGCCAAGCAGAGCCAGCGCGCCCTTGGGAGCACCGGAGGTAGGCGCCGCCGCGCCGACCGACTGCTGCGCGGCGGCAGTGGCGGTAGTGCTGGTGGAGTTGGAGCTCGACGCCAAGGATCCGGTGGTGATCGTCGCCTTGGACGACGCCGCGGTGCTTGTACCTGTGGCAAAAAGAATAGCTCGGTCAGTATGATCACCGGACAGTTGTGTATGAAGTAGGGTCTTGCCTAAAGAAGACAAAGGAGTGATCGACGACGCAGGTGTCGACGACCCTGGAGTGGTGGTGGTGATGGTGGTGATGGTGATTGAGGTGGAAGTGATCTCACTGGTTGTAGAGGGAGTAGTGGAGGTGGTGGAAGTGGAGATGGACGTGGAGGACGATGAAGTGGTCGATGAGGAGGAGGAGGAGGAGGAGGAGGAGGAGGATGAAGAAGTGGAGGAGGATGAGGATGAGGACGTGGTACCGTCGTTGGAAGCACCCTTTTCGACTGTGAACACCGAGCTCACGGCGAGCTGGCCTGATGAATCAATGATCTGGATCTCGTAGTCATCTCTAAGGTACCACAAAGAAAAAGTCAATTCAGCAAATCCATTCTTGGCGAGGATCACAGTGTCTCCCTGCTAAGGCTACATACCCGTTGGAAATGCTAGGGTTGGGTTGGGTCGTGTATTCCCCCTCAGAGGTCTTCACGTTGTCCGCCAACTTGGTCTGGAAAGAGCCATCCTCGGTTCGCAGGATGATACTGATATAGTCAGGATCGCTGGAGTCGCTAGTGAACTTGATGGTCTTGGGGGTGGAAAAGTCCCATTCGGTGTCTGATGATGGAGTAGTGATGGTGATGGCCAGAGCCGAGGAGATCAGGCCCAATGAAGCGAGTGTGAATGAGTAGCGCATCTTGATTCAATAACGACGGATTATGCTGGCCAGTAAAGCTATAGAGAACCTCTCACGATTTGCCCGGAAAACAACTATATATACAGTAGACAGTACCGGTGCAGTGTGCTGATAGCTACATTGTAGGAAGCAAACCATATACGGAATCCCCAGTGTTCACACATCCTTCCAGCTGAAGCCCGACAGAATGAGACACGCAGGTTGTCTGGGCCTTGGACAGCAGGGAGCAGCAATACGAGGTGATCTCCAGTACGAGCTGAGCCTCGCCTGTGGAGACCGAAGCAGAGGCGAATGGTCACGCAATCGCCATCCCCGGTGCTGCCCACGTCAATGACAACAAACGGGGACTAAAAGGATCGATGACTGAATCAGTGATCTGTCATGCTGTGTTGGGATCCCAATTCACAATATCTTCCCAATCAGATGGTTGATTACCCTTACCGATAAAAGGACTCAAGCTTTTGCACTAACCAGGGTTCTTCTGATGTCAGCGCTAGGGCGGCGCTAAGAAAGGCAAGTCTCCAATCCGGCGGTGCCGATAAGGCTTGCAAATCGAGGCTATCAGGTTTGTCAATCTATTTTTGTGCGTATCGTTATGTCACAGCTGTAATCTATTACTTGTTATAACGGTATGATTGACCCGCGGAATCGCATTGGCCAAGCCAGTGTCTGCGCCTGCTGTCAAACAAACTGCCGTCCGTGGTTTGCCTTGGAGCAACCGAAGCCGACGGGAGTTGGTGCCTGTGCCCGACACTCAGGGCGACCCACGGAAATATGGTAGCTTGGGCACGGTCGGAAAACCCGAGATAATCATACAGATGTATGGCATTGAGTTTGACCAGAGGTACGGAGTATGCTGTCGAAGGACATTCTCCAAGGCTCCCAACAAGCGTGGCTACGTTTGAGGGCCACATACTCACACACCGCCAAGTTTTGCTGCTACGGACGAGGGTGTTTCAATTGGTAAAACAAAAAATAAAGAATCCAAATATTGACACTGCGCCCTGTCTAGTATCATTATCTTATATAGTAGGGAATTAATGTATTATAGTAGCAAACTCAAAATGTAATATGTCCTCGTAAAGCCAGAACCTCAAAGCCATCTAAGTGATAATCAAATCAACCAGGCAAGTCGACAAAGAAAAGAATCCAAGGAAAATAGGAGCAAGAGAAAGGATGAGGGGGGGCAGTCGGAAGGATTAGATGACTAAGTAAGAGGTGGCCATGGCCGCCGTCACCAGCACCGTCCTTATCTCCCTCGACAGACCGAATAAGGAAGACTGAGCCCCGGTGGAGGGCGAGGGGCTTGCAGACGAGGCTGCCGAGCTACTCGGCGTTCCCGTTGAGGAGTCATCATCCTTACAGATATTGGTGCTGTTCTTCAGGCTGTCAGTGGGATAGTACACCCGAGGACCGCCGTCCGAGCTGAGGTCGACGGTGAGATTACCGCTGGCATCGGTGACGAATGTTTTGCAAGACAGGATCTCCGTCACGTTCTGTCGGGATTGGAAACCCGTGCCGTCGGCGCCCAGGGTGAATTTGGTGGTGGCTTTGGTGGCGGGCTTGGCTCCCAGGTTAGATACGACACTCACAACCTGATTGCCAGCAAAGCCCTTGCGGATGGCCAGAATGTTGGTTGAGTTGTAGATCGGCAATGACAGGTACGAGAGATAGTCGCGCCCCGCCTGTGACTTGAGCGTGTACTGTTTGCCGTCCCCGCTGGCATATGATCGAATGCGGTTCAGCGATTGGACGAGTGACGGGAGCGAGGTCGAATCCATCGAGTAGTTCGTGCGCCAGAGAGCCTCACGATTCACCGGGTTAAATGCACCCGACAGGTGCTGCTCTTCCCCGTAATAGACTGTGTTGCCTTGGTTAGTACTGCGGGTTCGTGGTGTAGGCGGAGAGAGTGCTGAAACATACGAATGGGAATACCGTCAGCCAGCATGCTGGTGGTGAGAATGTTCCGAGCAAGCTACCCAATCATCACAATGTTAGCCCAGGCTCATTCCGTCATTTGAGGCTGTGACTAGACTTACAGAGATGTCCGAGGTATACGAGCCAAAGCGAGGGACGTCCTGATTCGATGTAAACGTTCCCATAGCCAGCACGTCCTGCCAATAGTGAGTTTCAGATTATCATTTCAGGGGTCAGCCAATTCCTACCTCACACAGTGACTTCGTGTAGTCAATAGACTGGAAGATGGCGCTCAGGTCGCCGTGTGTCGTATTGAAGGCGTTGGTGAGGATATAATACCTAGAAATATCAACCACCCTTCTGACTATACACTCACTGGGATGTGTGTACTCACAAGGGATAGTTTAGCAGTCCGTTGATATCTGACTGCAGAGGGCAAATGTCCGCTGCAGTCTTCGTCGCGCCTTCACCAAAAAGGAAAACCCCCGCGGATTTGTTGAAGCTCGAGAAAAAGTCTTGGTCAATGTTCAAGACACTGTCGATCCGCAACCCATCGACTATCCACCAAGGTGTCACTAGAATCCTTGAATGCATAGATGTCATATGAAACATCGAACTTACCAGAGTAGTTCGAGACCAACTCCTTGACCCAAGTGCCCAGCATGTTCTGAACCTCCTGGTCCTCGTTTCGTAGATCTGGGAGCGAGACGACATTGTCCCCCATCCAGCACTGATGCACAAGTCAGCGATGCCCCGGCCACCACCAAACTAGAAAAAAACTCACGTCCAAAACACAGGTATCATTGTGGGGATCAGACGAGAGAAGCTTGTAGTCGTGGAAATATTTCCGATCGTTGAAAGGGTTGAACGTGCTGTAGTCGACCGTGGTGTGGTTTCCCGCCCAGGCCATATCCCCGACCACGACATCCAGCATCAAGTACTATTGATTCAGTGTCTCAGTATTGTCTGATGATCCCCAATTCATGTCGTCCATGGCAACTCACCATCCCACGCTTGTGCAAGGCTGAGGATAAGGCTTTGAGGTCATTGGAAGTACCGAAATGAGAGTTGATCGAATAGAGGTCGTTTGGCCAGTAGCCATGGTAAGCTGTTATGCGTGGACAGTTAGTTCTGAGGATACGGTTCACCATTCACAGTCCTGCGGACGGCTAGCTTTATGAGCGTACCTGAAAGATCCGCGGTTCGTTCTGATATTTGACTTTGTGCCGGAGAGATCCAAATTGCATCAAACCCGAGTTCCTGGATATAGTCGAGTCTGTTGATGATGCCACGGAACGAGCCCCCGCAGTAGTTGCCTTGTGCTGCATCACAAGCGGCGGTGGTTGAGTTATCGGTTCGAGCAAAGCGATCGGTAACAATCTGGTAGACGGAGCGACCGAGCCATTGATCTCTGGAGGCGGCCTCAACCCTCACTGTCCAGCTCGCCAAAGTGGCTGCAACCACCAGCGCCTTTCTCCACCACCGCCCGCTCATCGTTGGTAGCGTTAGCATAAGCAACCCAGTAGGAAAGAAAGAGTGTGCGGATTGAAAATGATGGAGATGATGGAAGCAATGCCCTAGTTGCCCTACGTAAATTGAGTGACCAAGTGACTGAGTGACCGAGTCATATATTATCTACGGAGTACGGAGTACCAGATCTCATATATGCGACCGCTACATTGGTATTCTAGCAGCCTAGGATTGATACCTTAATTATTAGCCAAGTTGGCTAAGTAAATAATGTTGATCGTTAGATTGCATTTAGATTGGATTGGATTGATGATTACTCTCTACAGTACCCCTGGGATCTTGGGACGGGAAGAGTTAACAGTATAAGGTAATCGGAATACAGGTTCTGGTATCGAAGATGGTATTGACCGGTAAAGAAGAGTGGATCGGCCCGTTGACCAGCTCAGTCTTGCCCTGGGCCTGTCATCGAGCCCGATCGGCAGCCCAGACACAGACAGCCAGACAGTCTTCAAGGTTCTCTTCGTAAGTTCCAAGTTGCTGGTCCCCTCGCCCCTCCTCTGCCAACCTTGGAAAACTCCCGCTATTCCCGCGACTGGACAGTCGGTCCCCTTATCTGCCCTAGTTATCAGAACCCGGAATATCTTCGCATCCGATCCTGTTCGCGGCTTTTCTCCTTGGCTCGCTTCCTTTGTCCGCATAAGGTCAGTCATGTATCAGCTCAGCTAAGTCAAAATCATCATCGCCTATGACGTGTACCACTGGAGGCGTGCTAGCCGGTCGGGCATACACTTTCACTGACTGAATCCTCCCGTACTCCCCCGTACATACGGGGTACTCCGTACTGACGGTCTCATCGATGATTTTGTCGCCGATCCCGCGGGTTAGAGATATATGACTTGTCGGATGGAGAAGATTTGCCCTTGCAGCCAATTCCAACCCGATGGGACGAACACCATCATGTAGAATCCTTCAAACTTCGATGCTGAACATGTATCAATATATATCGGTATCAACTTGCAGGAATCATTCTCTCGCCCCCTCCCCATGGGTTGTCCGGTGCATGAGCTGTAAGGAGTACCTCCCCGCCGGAATGGGCGATGCGCAACTGATACAGACCCACCTCGTACCCTCGGCCAGCCCATTTCGACCACTCCAAGTGACCTATATCTGATGCATGTCAGATCCAGTTCATACGAGACATGAGGCGTCTCCTTTGGGCCTGGAACCTGGGTGTCGAGGCCCGAGCAAGGTGGCGTGGTGGTCTCAGAGCTGAAAAATTCGTTGGGATAACGAACATGCTGGAGAAGAGGCCCACCCCCGAAAAGATGGCGTTTGTTGCCTCCAACAGAGCCGCTAAAATTAGGACGATGCTTTCGACTGCCTCACTCGGTGTCGGTGCATGGGGAGGGGGAGGCTGTACGTACAGTACATGCTATGGATCGCCTTATCGCTGCGGAGGGTTCGTTATCTACGCGAACATGCTGCTGAAGCTCATCTGCGCTTTCTGAGAATATTTCAGCCAATTTCTTTTTTATCTCTGTTTGTCTATGACAGACCACCTTTTGTACTCCCTCTGGTTCACGCTGGGTTGATTGTTGCTTGTATGAGTTCCTGATATTGCTTCTTTTCTCTCGCAGTTCGAGGCTTCCAACAGTGTGCTGCTCCGTGGATGTCACTGCCGTAGTGGCATTCACTGTGCGCCATGAAGCTGTTCAATTCTATCACTCGTTACCTTGCCATCGTTGCACTGGCGACTCCTCTTGCACTATCCCTACCCTACCTTGAAGAAGAAGTCAACTGGAATCTCAACCAGAATCAGACCGCGACAGACCCTCTCGACTATTCGGGACTTTGGGAAGGCCACACATACAAACCCTCACCGGACAACTGGCGATTTCCCTTTTACACCATCTTCCTCGATCGATTCGTTAACGGGGATCCGAGCAATGACGACGCGAATGGTACGCAGTGGGAACACATCTTGACCTCCAACCAGTTCCGCCATGGCGGCGACGTGCTTGGTTTGGTCGATACTTTCGATTACTTGCAGGGTATGGGGATCAAGGTGAGCTTGCTGCCGTCGCACAGTTACGGGACGGAACATGTTGACCATTATTCAGGGCGTCTACCTCGCTGGTACCCCGTACATCAACTGGCCCTGGGGTGCGGATGGATACTCGCCGCTGGATCTGACGCTGATGGATCATCACTTTGGTACGATCGAGGATTGGCGCACCATGATATCAGAGGCTCATCGACGGGGCATATACGTTCTGTTTGACAATACCTTCGCGACGTAAGTGTGACCCAGATCCGGAAAATATGGCATTGCCATCAGCTAATCGTGGTGGGGAAAGGATGGGCGATCTTATCGGTTTTCAGGGTTACTTGAACAGGTCCGCGCCGATCAACCCCAACGAGTATGACTATGTATGGAAGTACGATCGCCAATATTGGGACTTTAAGCCCGGGAACGAGGTCGAGGCCGAATGTCCCTGGGAATATCCGCGGTTCTGGGATGATGACGGAACAGGCTTGACCACTACCACCCTGGGAGCTTCATGTCGGAATAGTGAGTTTGATCAGGTAAATCCCCCCCCCTCTCGACCTTCTTCAATGTGTCAACCAGCGCTAACCCATTACAACAATCCTTATAGTATGGTGAAGTCGCTGCGTTTGGCAATTACACCGAATGGGAAGGGCAGATCTCCAAGTTCGCCTTCGTGCAGGACCGTCTCCGCGGATGGCGCCCGGACGTTCTGGCCAAGATCAAACATTTTTCGTGTCTGACCATCCAGATGCTGGACATCGATGGGTATCGCGTGGACAAGGCTCTGCAAGTGACCCTGGACTCCCTGGGCGAGTGGTCAGAGGCGATGCGCGAATGCGCCCAGGGGGTGGGCAAGGACAACTTCTACCTCCCCGGAGAAATCGTGGCGGGAAACGCCTTTGGCTCGCTGTACATCGGTCGCGGTCACCAGACGAATCAAACCATTTCCAACATGACGGAAGCCTTCATGATGACCAACAAGACAACCAATGCAACCCAGGATCTGTTCTTGCGACCGGCGGAAAGATCCGCCTTGGACGGGGCCGCCTTCCACTACACTTTGTATCGTGGGTTGAGTCGGTTCTTAGGGTTAGTCTCCCCGCTTCCCTTGTAGCTCCCCCTTTTCTTCCTCGGCTAGTTGAGGTTGACAACTGCTCGCATTCAGGTTGGACGGTATTTACACGGCTGAAGGCGACCCACCGGTCAACTTCGTGGAAACCTGGAATGGTCTTGTGCAGACGAACGACATGATTAATACGAACACCGGCGAATTCGACCCGCGTCACCTGTTCGGTGTCACGAACCAGGACGTCTTCCGGTGGCCGGCGATCGCGAATGGCACGCACAAGCAGAATCTCGGACTGTACGTTGTCTCGTTGCTCATGCCCGGAATCCCCATCCTCTCCTGGGGCGAGGAGCAAGCATTCTACGTCCTGGACAACCAGGCGGATAACTACAGTAAGACGCCCCATTCTATCCAATGTCTACTACCCCCGTCCCCACCCTAACACTGCAATAGTCTTCGGCCGTGGACCCATGTCCTCAGCGCAAGCATGGCAGATGCACGGGTGCTACAAAATCGGAGCGTCCAAGTACTACGACATGCCGTTCGAGAGCGCCCTGACCGGCTGCAAGGACGATTCCGTCAGCCTCGACCACCGGGACCCCTCGCACCCCGCCCGGGGTCTCATCAAGCTGATGTTCGAAATGCGGCAGAACTACCCCGTGCTGAACGACGGCTGGTACCTGCAGCAGCTCTCGAACCACACTTTCGACATCTACCTGCCTGGCAGTAACGGGACGCCGACCGAGACGGGCATGTGGAGTGTGCTGCGCTCCCGCTTTGTCGACCTGCAGAATTTGGATGGCCAGGGCCAGGGTAACCAAAGTGTCTGGCTGTTGTACGCGAATGATAACCAGACGGTGCATCATGAGTTCAACTGCAGCGCCAAAGATGCATTGATTTCGCCGTTTCCCGCAGGCACGACGGTTAAGAACCTCTTTCCGCCGTTCGATGAGTATACGCTGGTCAATAGCTCCAAAACGCTTGGGTATGGTAGCCTCCGTAACGGAAAGCTGTAGTGCTGTTACTGACGATGTGGCAGGTTGGAAGGGTCGAAGCTCCCGAATGGGTGTTATCCCAACCTGACAATGCCGGCGTGGGGCTTCAAGGCCTTCGTCCCGAAGGATAAATTCGTGCAGCCCTCTCCGTACATTACAGGATTCACCCCGGGCCATGACGCGCGTCTCGTTCCCAACAGCACGACTGGCGACACCGTGCGGATCGGCTTTGAGTTCTCCCAGGAGATGGACTGTGACGAGATCACTCGATCGCTGACGATCACGTCGAAGGCGCTCAACGACGAGAGCCCGAAGCTGGACAACAGCTCCGTCTTATGCAAATCCTTTGCAGAGAAGGAAGTGGTGAGTTGGCCCGGTGCACTGACTAGCGTTTTCAGCTACGAGGCCGAGCTCTCGAACGTCTACCCAGGAGTTCATCAGGTCACCGTGAGCAATGTGACCACGAAAAATGGGAACTCATCCACAAACGTGAGTACACCCTCTTCTATACACGACGACCATTTCCGAACACTAACTGAACACATTAGTCCGTCGACCACTTCCTTTTCCGCGTCGGAAAGCTAGACAACCCGATTGTCTGGCCGCAGGTGGCAAACTACAGCCGAACGCTCTTGTTCGAGGTTCCATCGTCCGACTCCGGGACCTTATCTGTGAGACCACAGGCCCCTGGTGCGGACAAGTGGCGTTACTCGCTGGATTTCGGGGCCACATTCAGTGACTGGATGACTTACACTGGATTCAACACGTCGATCCCCGGCAAGAACTTCAGCGGGCCCGCGAGACAAGCCTGGGAAGGGGAACACATCATCGCCCAGTACTGGAGCAAACTGGCCGGAAGCAGTGATCACTGGCAGCACGGCGACTCCCAGTGGGAGTACAAACCCCCGCGACG